TGAATGGACTGAGAGAGAATACTGTTAGGTATTGGAATACTATTAAGTCTTTGAAAAGGTGAACTTGGTGGACATTAAGTGAACTAAATCAGACATAGAAAGACTAATGCTGCATGATCGTATCTACCTGTAAATCTAGAAGGAGTTGAACTCACACCAGTGGAAAGTACCATAGTGGTTAACAGAAGCTATGGGAAAGGGTGATTGGCTGAGGTGCTGATTAAATGATATGTAGGTCAAGTGATGAAAATGAAACCCAGGGCCTTGCGCATGCTAGGCAAGTGGTCTACTTTTGAGATGTACTCTCAGCCCAGGCTGTAGTATTTTGTTACGCAGCCCTAGCAAAGTAATACAGCTCCTGAGTGAATATTCTTTAACCTTATCTTTGACAGCTAAGAATGGGTATTTATTAGCATGTCCAATCTAGGACCTGCCATATTGTATCTCTGCTCAATTCGATATAGTCAGACCATGTTGGCATGACTACTGTGTACTAAATATGTTGTTAATCCCAATTCAGATATAAAATATAATTAAATCTTTGAAAATTCAGTATGAAAAGAACACAAGATAAGCATTGAAGTCAATTATATATTGTGGTGAGAATATTCTGGTTATGTAGGGTTAAATAAATTTTGTCCTCAAAACTTATCCTACCTATTTTTTAATGTGCCTACTAGAAATTTTCAAATTTCATGTGTGCTTTGGATTATATTTCTGTTGGATAGGATTGTACTGGATGTTTTAAAAAATCTTTTCAGTGGCAAAACTGTCTTACCTGTCTTTTCTTCATGCCTAGGCCTAGAGCTAGGTAGATTCTAAAATTCTCTCCTGAAATGAGTGAAAGGAAAAGGAAAGGAAAGGAAAGGAAATGAAAAGAAAGGAAAGGAAAAACTACTGATAACCCAAGGGAGACTAAACATATATATCAAAGGCATGGAACATGAGGAGAGTAAAGCCTCTTGGAATCCCATTATTTGAAAAAAATGTCTGCAGTGACTATCACCAACAAAACTATGGGTGATGAAGGCAGTTTTTAAAGTAGGGAAATGCAGTCATAGAGACTGAGAATTCTTTGCAGTGATCATATTAGCCCTGGATTTCAATGTGGTGGATCAGTCAGGTTCTTTTCCTCCACCTTAACAGAAAACATAATGGCTACCCTTAAAAGTCAATGAATGACTTAAAAAGAAACCAGGGAGGGGTACAGAATTGATACAGAGGCCTTGGCACTTGGTTTATAAAAGTAGATTGAGCCAAAGGACCACGAGACAGCCAGGTCACCCTGCCTCGGCATTCATGCTAGGATGGTCCTGCTGGCTCCACTTTGCCCGACTCTTGAAGACACCTCTGATGCAGCCTCTGTGCCTCTTGCGTGGTGGACCCTATCATGGCTCCAGTATGATTTCTCAACTGCTGGTACATCCAAGGCTGAAGCTGTAGGTTCAAAGAACTGTCAGAGCCTGTGCTGCTGAGGGCAGGAAGAGACCTGGCTCCTTCATTCATCTCATGGCAGGGATCTGTTACATTGAATATGTGTTTGGATGATTACAGACCAAACAAAACAAGATGTACTCAATTCCATGCTTTACAATAAATTAAAACATTCAGACCAATGCCAAGACAATAATAATTATTTTTCCTGGATTATCTTAGATATGAGAAATACAAGTTATGTTAATGTTGAACTTCTATATCATTTTTATAACACACAGTATCATTCTTTTGTATTCTATATGAATATTAATCTGACTGAACTACATGCTAATACATTGCCATCATCACTTCTATGTTATGGGTGGGTAAACTGAAACACAGATAAGTTAAATAGCTAAGCCATAATCACTCACTAGCAGGCAGGAGGACAGAGATTATAGTCAAGCACTCTGGAGCTTCAGGATCAATATTATAACCACTACACTTACCTGTAGTGGTTTTTATTTGTAGGTAGTCTTAAGAAAATGTTCACTAATTGATGTATAACTTATTATATGAGGCAGCTTCTCTTCCCTGAACAATTTTCACTGTTTTCATTAACAAAAACCTTTCTTGTATTTTAGAGAGAAGTCATTGAACAGAATGACGTTAACAGTTACAATCAAGCAACTTATGTCCAAAATTGAAAAACAAGATCAAAAGCGGATGTTACAGGATAGTTCATGCAAGGAAAACAGTTGACATCACACTTTGGTGACTCCTTCAAGGAATGCCTCCAGTTCTTGTTTTAAAAATTTCTTTCATGTTATCATTTTATGTGACCATTTGTAATATTTTTAAGTTCAACTCAAGTAATACACACAGGTATATACTCAGGTTTGGACCCTGTTGTTAAGAATTACTAATAGATAAAAGACTTGGCTTTCCTCTCTCTGAGTTTCTGAAATTCTACTTCTGATTTCTAGAAGTAAAGAGGTTTCTTCAAGTGAAACTCAGACAACCAGACTTTTTCTATATTTTTCTTAACAGTCAAGATCACCTTTCTCAAAAGATCATCTAATTTTGAACACGTTATTTGCTCTAGAAAATGGAGAGATTTGTAAGGAAAATATAGTTGTGAGCTTAGAAAAAAAAACTGTGGTCTAAAAGAAAGATTGTCAGTATTTTTTCAATTTACGCGAAATGTGAAACCTAGGACCCTTCTCTTAGTACTTGATTGCAACAACTCTTAGTACTTGATTGTAAACCACAGGATGCAAGGGAAACCAAACGCATGATCACTTCTCTGATAACTATTTCCCTTTGTGTCACACGTTGAGCAAATTTTTCAGCATTTATTTATTGTCTTTTTAAATTAGAAACTTCCTTGCTTAGTGGTCTCCTGAGTGTAGATTAGAAACCAGAAACAAGAAATAACTTCTCAGTTAAGCAATTACTTAGGTATTAAATCAAGGAAGAGAAAGGGGTGGTACTTGCTGATAGGGAGGCTACTCTGCCAATGATTATATTTCCTTTTCCATCACATTGCACAACTATTTGTGGCCTGTGCAGGGTATGACGATGCACTGCTATGGAACAACATAGGCTGGGTACTGGTCTTGACATGCTAATTTTTTATCTGAGTGATGTTTTCCCATTAATCACTTTGGTACTTCCCATCTACCCACATTGTCATGTTGTCATCGTGTGCTAATACGTGTCACAGATACTAAATTTCAGGGTTGGTGGGAAGTATAATATTCACTGGATTTATTGTCTATGGCAACCACCATTGCTCAACCTCACACTTAATACTGTTTTAGAACAAATAAATGAAGAGGGTTCTGCAAAATTAAATTTATAGAAGTAGAGAATTAATGACTTTCTATTACTGAATGGTGGCAGTGGGTGGCAAACAGAAACCTCAGACACACGCTGTATTGAGAAAATAAGAAACGGAAAAAATAAGTGACCATATGTAGGGGACTTTATGACATTCAAATCAGAACACAGGGTGAACAGAGTATGGTTAGTAATCATGTTGAAACAAATATAAACCAGGACAGCCTCTGGTAAGTTATATAGAACTAGAGTAATTTAAAAAGTGAAAAAGAACAAACACAGTATATTGCCCAGTAATAACTTAGGGAATGTAGGTGGCCTGATGAGGCTGTTTATAGGACTTTCCAGACAGAGATTTGATCTCCTCATACAACTGTGCTCCTAAAACTTAAATTTATGTTTATGGTAAAGGGACAGAACTGTCAGGTTCCAAATGGGGCTGCGCAGAAGCACCTTTATGTGCTTTAAAGTCAGTGAGTTTTCTCCTTGCCATGTCAGGGCCTTGTTTGGGTACTAGTAACTGATTTCATGCTTCTGTCAAGGCAGAGAAGGATTGAGTGAGAAAATTTTCTTTGCAGCTTTTCAAAATCTCTTCATTTCCCTCCAATAACAAGGGAATCAGAAGTCTCAAGTCCATGCCTGATGTGACAGAAATTCCAGGGTAATTCACAATTTTGCTATTTAGGGTTATCAGCTTGGATTCGTGTTAACTGTCAGGGAATACAGCTTACAAGGCTGTAAGGGATTCTATCTTCTTAGTGTCTTGGCCCAAAACTTGCATAGACATGAAGCAGATTAATAGGACAGAAGAATACAAGTATATTCAAGTTTATATGGCACGGAAGCCCTCATAAGGAAATGAAGATCCAAAAATTGGGTTAGAATCAATCACTTGAACACTGATTTGGACCAAAAACCAGTCAAATTGTGAAATGTAAACCAAAAGGCTTGGGCTAATATAATTGACTAGAGAAAGGTCAAGGGTTAATTTACCAGGACTTATTTGCAAAGATTTTCCCTGGTCTTTGACTTTCCCTTCTTGCTAAGAATGTTATTTGATGCTGAGGATATCTTTCATATGGGAATTTTATCTTGCTTTTAAGAAACAAAATAAAAGTCAGAATGATCTTGCACATGCTGTTTTTAAAAGATGCTTTCACTTCAAAATAGTATCCTACAGCTGTATATTTTTGAGTGGCATATTCTTAACTCCTTCAAACCTATCAAATGCTTTGGCTATACGTGGTAGTTAACAAACCTTTTCAAAAAGCTGGCATTTGCCAAGTATGTAATGCATCTGTCTAAGGTTTATTGATTGCCTGTTATTTAATATTCTCCCATGCCTGGGAGCAAAGTGACTCAATTAAGATGTCAGTTGAACTTGGGCTTCGTTAGGAGCTAACAGCCTGCTTCTCCTTCTTGTTCCGTTACAGACTGCTGCGAAATAGACGCATCCTCATATGCTGGGACAGGTCCAAAAGAGGTAGAACCTCTTTTGCCAGACTTTCGACAGCCACTTTCCCTTGGTTGACATATTTCATCACGTGAGGCTGGAAGAGAAACCGAGGCGAACATCCGTGAAGGCGACCGCATCCCTGCCACAAGCCTCAAAAGAAAGTTTGCTCAATCTTCCCTAAACGCTAATGCAGCTGCCCGCCGCCCTTACTCAAGATGGCGGTGCCGGCGTCAGCAGCCCCCTGCCCTTCTCTATCATGGCAGCGGCGGACACGCCTCCCTGGGTGCTGGAGTCATATGACCTACACAATGGTCGGGAGTTCACCGGAGGCGTCCCGGCAACGCCGAGTGGAAGCTATGACGGCTGCCGCGGGTTCGGCAGGCCGCACCGTAGTGTCCCTGCTGCTGTGTGCGCTGCTGGCGTCCGGCGGTGCCTACGTGCTCGACGACTCCGACGGGCTGGGCCGGGAGTTCGACGGCATCGGCGCGGTCAGCGGCGGCGGGGTGAGCGGCGGGGATGCGCGGGGAACTTCGGGGCCGCCGCATCCCGCCCCGTCCTGCGCCATCCGGTCCAGTCCAGCGCAGACCCGCAGCCTCCGCGCGTTGCCCGCGTTTGGACGCCCTCGGGTTCAGGGCGGCTTCCATTGGCCCCCGGCCGGGACCGAAGATGCCCTGTAGGGGGAGTCGGGGTGTGCGAGAGTCCCAGGACTGTGACAGGTGCAGGTCCAGGACTGGGCAGAGCTCAGGGGGGTCGAATCGCCCCAATGGAGGCCCTGGGAACCATTGTGGTGATCATGTAGCATTCTTGGGGTCCGGTGGTCCTGGGGTGTAGAGAAAGACAACCCCAGAAGGACGCTTGGTGAGTCCCTGGTGGCAATTTCTTTGTGGGAGACCGTGGGAAATAGTTGGCCTTTCACTTTTAGGGTGCATTTCTGTCTTCCCACTTCTAACTTTGTATTTCTGGAGCTGGCTGAGAATTTGCGTTTAAAAAAGAAAACACTACTCAGTTCTCATCCTGGGTATGGAGAGAGATTTTTCCTGTTTAAAGATCTAGAGAGCATAATTTTTTTTTTTTTAAAATTTTAGAGTAGTTTTGGATACACAGAAAGGCTACGAAGACAGTGCTGTGTTGTTGTATAACTTATAGCCAGTTTCTTTATTAACATTCCATCTTAGAATGGTAGTGTTTGTTACAACACAATATTGGTATGTTATTTTAAAGTTCGTACTTTCAGATTTCCTTAGTTTTTACTTGATGTTCGGGATTCCTACCAGGATATTTAGTTGGCATTCATTGTTTGAAAGGAAACAGAAAGCCAGTTTAGCTTTGTGTGTCCTTGGGAATGGGTACAGCTGGGCATTTTTAGTTTTCCCAACTTGCCAACTGGTGGCCTCCACCGCCAGACCAGGAGCTTTCCTCGGTGCCAGGGTCATTCTTGGGTCCTAACAGCATTTGCCCTTTAACACTCTGTAACCCATGTCTTTATTTTGCTTTTTTGTTGTTGTTTCTAACCTTTGGGCCACTGGGGTTTATGTTGCCAGGTCTTTCAATGAGAATGAGAGGGTTTTTAAAAAAAAAATCTTGTATCCCAGATAACGTCGAGAGATAATTTGATTAGAAAATAGGATCGACTCTTAAACTTCTGGTTTTGTTAGGTTAAGTCACAGGAAACATGCGTCTTTCAACTCAGAACAAGCTTGAATGTTTGCTTGCGCGGTTGATTCTGCAGATAGTCTGTTCATGACTGTGACCTTTCTACTGGGAGAAAAAAAAACTTTCCCTTTACCCTGGCTTCTTGAAATCTACATTTTTGTTTTCTAATTTCAAATGTTACCTAAAGATCTTGGTAAATATTTCAGGGGTAACCTGTGGGCCAGTGACCCACATTGGTGGGCATTTATTTATGTTTTTTACTTATTATTATTATTACTACTAATATTATTATCTTGGTTTAAACCCGAAATAACCGGTATTTCATAAGGTAAGAGCCCAGTCTCTCCTGATACCTTTAGGTGATATTAAATCTGGTATGTAAGCTTTCTGAAAATGGAAATCTTTATTTAGCCTAATTTACAATTACAATGAGAAGAACAATTTCATAAACCTAGAATTGGAAAGACCTAGCTAATCTGATAAGACACCCAGCAATTACTAGTGAGCCAAAGGGATAGTGCATTATTCATCTTACAGGTTCTTACAGGTTCATTAAATGCTTACAGCATTGTAATTAATTTTTCTGTTGTTTTTAATGAAACTCTTTATACCTAGCACAGTTTGTGGCAGTAAGTACTTAGAATGGTCTCATTTCATTTTCGTGTCTTAGGGCAGGCATTTTGGTCTAGTAGTTAAGAATATGGGCTTAGGAAGGTTGTCTAGTGCCTTCTGAGTTCTGTCACTCATTATAGGTTTTGTGATTTTCTTTTTTTTTTTTTAAGCAGTCGTCAGGCATGGTCTAGGTATGACTGTAGACCCTGCACTTTTGACAGTAGCTTTCTATTCTTTCTGAGGCCAAGGCTGTGTGAGGTTTCTTAAGTAAAGCCTGGTGTGGTTTGTTGTTTGCTCTTTCTTAGTAATAGCACAACTTATAAAAACTATTGCTCTTTTTTTAGTATTGCTGCTTAAAATGTTTTCTTGTAAGATGCTGAGTGGGAAAATTATCTTGAGCTTCAGACACTCATCCTAGCACTGGAATATTGTTGACAAATTTAAATGTCAAGATAAGTGCATAGTATTCAATAAAAGTCTTCAGTGATCCAAACTTACACCCAACTATTATCTCAGCAGAAGAGAATGTTTTATATGTTGTAGAAAAAAAATAAAAACAGTGCCAGCTGTGTAGTGATTGGCAAAGCAAAGTCTGGCAAGCGTAGGAAGTGATTTTGCACAACTTGGTCTTGCCCAAAAACTGGCTAGGTAGGAATATCCCAGATGTTATGCATATTCATTTTGGGAATTATAGATACATATTCATCCTTTTGAAAATTTTTTTGCAGGCCACTTCCCGCCTTCTGGTAAATTACCCAGAGCCCTATCGTTCTGAAATATTGGATTATCTCTTTAAGGTAAGGAGAAAATAATTATTTAATAGTACAGTGATGTTTTAGGAACTGTGTAGTGAACTTCAGCCATAGAATTTATGAGCTTCACAATTTTAGCTTTTGGAGAAAATGGCAAATTACTTTTGGAATAAGATGGTCTTTAAAGTTTTGCTTCAAACGAATTTTGATTCTGTTTTCTGATCTGTAAAATTAAAGGTAGTTATTAGTGATTATTTGAAGTTTTATATCGTGAGACAGTTTTGATACTGTTACTTTGTTCTACAGCCAAGATGAAACACAGTGTTAATAGTGTTAATTTTTTCCCAACAGCCAAACTTTGGTGCCTCTTTGCATATTCTAAAAGTTGAAATAGGTGGTGACGGGCAAACAACAGGTAGGAGTATTTGGAGAAGTAGAATTTTTTTCCTCCAACATTTTAACTTATATTTGGAGTTCTGGAGTATGATTTTAGAACACAAATAATATTAGCTCTTTGAGTTTGGTTGTTGCTAATACATTGTTCCTTTTTATTCCTACCTGTAATTATTTAGAAAATTTATAGTATATTGAAATACAAATTTTTCAAAATAGTTTTCAGACTTTTGATTATTGAATTGAAGTAATAAGGGGTAAAGAAAATCCAGTTTTCTAAAAAGTGTACTAGAGAGAGCGCGGAGACAGTTTGAAATTTTGTGGCGATGTTAAAAGAAAATAATTGTTTTAGAACTTTTAAGACGTTAATTAACTTTAAAATATTTCGGAAATATAACTAGTGAATTTATATGCTTTTTGTTATATTAAAAATAAAATTATTTGTATTGTATGATATTTTCACTGTCTTACTAAATCTCTGAATTGCCCAAACTGGGCTCAGACTTGCATACCCTTCCCTCAGCCTTACAGAGTGCTGATATACAGACATGCCCCACTATGCCTGGCTTCCCAATTGCTTTAACCACTAAATCTTCAATCTTTGTGGTTACCATTTTGATCAGCTTTGGGTAGTATATGTCATTAACTGGCAGTTTATAACTCTCTGGTTTCCAGGAAGAAGAAAAAATAATAACTAGTCATTTCTGAATTAGATCCCATTATAATTAACTATAGACTAGAATGTTTTATGAATACTTGTCTTTCTGCTAGTGATTTGAAAATAACTTTTTATTTATTTATTTTTTTGTAATTTGTATTTTCACTGGTACCAGGGATCGAACTCACAACCACAGGCTTGCAAGGCAGGCGCTTATGCCACTGAGCTAAATCCTCAGCCCCTGAAAATAACTTTTTAACAGACATATATGTGGGTGGTGGTATTAGCATTTATTTAATCTATTTAATGGGGATCTTAAAACCTCAGAAAGACCAAAAAGTCCAGCAGGATATAGTGCTTGGAATTTTCAGTTATATAAGGTGTTAAGATTTCCCTTAATATAGCAAGTTGTGGTTTTACTCCTGGAAACCTTATAGTGCTTACAATAAAGAAAAAAGATGAAATGATATGTGTTGATTATCCACTTTCAAGTTCATAAGCTTATTCTTATTTGAACAACTTCAAATATAGAATTGGAATACTGCTTTGTGAAGTGTGTGTGTAAAAGGTCATAGAAACACCATTCATGGCTTACTTCCTCCTTTTTCTCTCGTCCTATTCAGATGGCACTGAACCTTCCCACATGCACTATGCACTAGATGAGAATTATTTTCGAGGATATGAGTGGTGGTTAATGAAGGAAGCTAAAAAGAGGAACCCTGATATTATTCTTATAGGTAATGTATTATACTTATAGCTCCTGCAGTCTCTTATCTTTAACTCTCAAATTCTGAATCTTGCTGGTAGGATTTTTATTAACACTAAGATGCTAAGAATGTTGTTAATATTACCAGTATGCTAGCAGTGGCAAAACAATAATGATCATTGTTTACATTTGTATATTGTGTTGGCTCTTTATAATACATCTGGAGTAAGTTGTTAATTCTTGTTTTTATAGAAGGGTGAGGTTTAGAGAAGTTACGGTCACAGATAGGAAGTTGCAAACTCAGGTTTAAAACAAAGTCCGTTCTGCCCCTCCCTATGGCAATTAAACTATGTAATTAGACAAAAATCTGTCATCAAAATTTGCACAAGAGCAATACTATTTCTTTACAGACTTGTATATTATATGTAAGTAGCAGATCTCAATTTTAGAATATGTATATACATGAGCACTGTTTGTTCTTAAGCCTCAGTGACATACAGGTCATTCTTCCAAAAACTGGGACATTGTATAGTCCATTCCTCAGTCCTTCCCTGTATCAGGTTAGGTTCCAGTGGCAGGATCATTGGCTAATTGCTCAAGTGGTACTAACTTATTTCACTGTTCCGTAGCAATGCCTACAGAGCCTATAAAGTATTTCGGACATCTAGAGCGGTGAGATACGCTCACTATTTGAAATCAGTTTGGTATTTTGAAAAAGACTTAAGTAAAATGAATTTTGAGAACTTGATTTCAATTTATTTAAAAACTAAAGGAAAAGAGTAATAATTTCTTTCTTTCTTTCTTTCTTTCTTTTTTTTTTTTTTTTGTGGTACCAGAGGTTGAACTCATGACCTCACACGTGCCAGGCAGGTGCTTGTGCTGCTGAGCTAAATCCTGACCCAATAATTTCTGAATTAAAAAAGAAAAGAAACTGAAGAGTGACTTGTTCTTTTAAATGAACTTTTGTGAGAGATTGCAGAAATGTTGAACACAGTAAAAGCATCATTGAATTGGGCACTTACTCCCCCACAGATTGTTCCAAAGGTCAAGCCTCATTTACATTGACAAAATCTGGCTTGCTAAACCACTGTCCAAACAAAGACTTACAGTGGCAGGCCTTTACATTTGCCTTTTTATGCAATAAATTAGATTAGAAAAATAAGCAGGTTATCATTTTGATTTAGAGTTTTTTCAGTGGTGAAATAGATTGTCAATATATTTAATGGATATGGAACTATATGTTAGTGACAGAGAATTTAGAATTTTAATTAGTGGTTTTCTACTATTCACATTTTAAAATTTTACTAACCAGGGTTATTGGAAGACTAGGACTTTCTTGATATATAGCATTTAACAAAGTTACATTTCTCTGTTGAGCCTTTGGCATTTATATTCATATAAAGACAAGCTCAATTTTGCCAAATTTGATTGCCTGACCTATGTATATTTTTAGTAGCCTTAAATTATAAGAAGACACTCATGAAATGAGAATTGTGTGTTATGATTGACTCATAGGGGTAGGTAGCATAAGGCTGTCACAATTCTTTAGATTTGACCTCAGAGAATAGAAACTTAATATTAAACATCCTGAAAGTAAAAGATGTTAAAATATACATTTCTTCCAGTTAGTAAATGTCTGAGTAAAGTGCTTATTGTGCTTTTTATTTCATTTTCTTGAAAGAACATTTAGAATTATGGGATCTGACTCAGTGAATCATTAAGAAATTATGGTATCCATACAGTAGAAGAGATTTCAAGGATTTGTGTGTGGTATATATCTTAGTTATTTTTCTCTCATTGCTGGGACAAATTACCCAACACTCAAAATTAAGGAAGGATAGCTTTAATTAGCTTACGGTTTGTGGAGGTTTCAGTCTGTAATAAACTGGCTCCAAGGCAGAACGGCATGGTAGAGGGGTAGCCGTTCATGGCAGCTGAAGACAGAAAAAGCAAGAGCAAAAGAGGGAGAAACAAGCCTCTTTTTCTCTCTTATGTATAAGGTGTGAGTGCTTATGGGCTCACCCAAGGAGTGCTCTTCTCTTGCACAGACTCAGGATGTTTATAAAGTGAGAACCCTTGCCCCCTGCTGAGTCACTTAAACTTCTAAACCCTTAAATTGGGACAGTGAACAACTCCTAGGGTGATAAGGGCATGTCCTCTACACCCTAGGGTGTAGATCTGCTGAGTTATTTAGTTAAGCTTCCTGAATTTCTAAGTTGATAAAGCGTACCAGTGATTAGAGTATATAATTCTTTATTTGGTCAGGTATATATGGCCCTTTTATTTGCCTGTTTTTTGGGTTGGTTTTCTTTTCAGTAGCACGGCATAGTTTTACCTATTCCACCTTTGGCTCTTTCTTTTCTCTACAGGGTTGCCATGGTCATTCCCTGGATGGCTGGGAAAAGGTTACAGTTGGCCTTACGTAAATATTCAGCTGACTGCCTACTATGTTGTGAGCTGGATTTTGGGCGCCAAGCATTATCATGATTTGGACATAGATTACATTGGAGTTAGTAATGTATTTATTATATGTATAATTTTTGAGATTGCATAATTTTTAAAAGTAATTTGATTTTGCAGCAATTTGTTGACTGATTATTTTGTGTTGTGAAACTGTTTTTTGATGGTGTCTGATAAAAACACAAATTAACTACATGTGACTTTATTACTGAACTTTGCTCATCCATATCTTCCCACTTTTGAAGCTGTGCTGAATATATACCATTTCCTAACTACATTTTAAATGTTTTCTAAAGCACCCTAACCTAAATTTTCTTGCTTCAAAGCTTTCTGTGTTTCTCTGCTCCTCATAGAGAACTGTGTTTCCTGTCTATTTTAATGATTGTTTTCACTTTATTCTCTGCACCTCAATTATTGTCTTCAGTTAGGCATTTGCAAACTTCCCTTTAAAGGGTCAGAGTACAAATATCTTGGGGTTTGTGAGTCTAAAGGTGGTATATATATTTTGGTACTGGGGATGGAACTCACAACCTTGCGCTTGCAGGGCAGGCACTTATGCCACTAAGTTAAATCTCCGGCTCCTATAAAAGATACTTTATGATAATTTTTATAACCATTTAAAACGTAAAGTAAAAGCTATTTTTAGATTTCAGTTAGTGGAAATACCAGGCGGTGGCTTAGATTTTACAGGCTGGATAGAATCTGCCTTCCCATGTCCTAAATGATTGCATGGCATCTTTTAATAATTTAAAAAGTATAAAACATGTATTTTCGGAGCTAGTATGTTGACCAGCTGGAGCATGCCTCAGACTGCATTGTACCTGCCACAACCTTGTGCTTACACATGGTGGGTCTCCATAACCATTGGCCTATTAATGTTCCATCTGCCCAAACTGATATTTTCAATGAAATCATTAAGGAGCTAGCATTCACTGAGCTCCTACTGTGCTGCAGAACTCTGAGTGTCTTGTTTTAGGGATCTGAAGGTTCGTAAACTCTTGAGTTCAGTTTGGTAGACAGACCTGGGACAGATGAACTGTAGAATCACAGGATAATCAGAGCATGAGGGTGAACCCAGGGCTCTAGGAAACATGAATGTACTTGTTTTCCTTTTCTACATTATAACTGAAAATTAATTTGTATTTGAGAGCTTTCCTAAATGCTAGAGCATTTTAAACCCATAGTGAGCCTCAGTGTAGGACTGGATCTAATAACTTTTATTATAGTGTATGTGCTGCCACGGTGAGCACAGCTTTTTGTTGTAGTACAGTAATATTTAGACGATGTTTCTGGTAAATAAGGAGAAATTTGTATCTCATCTAGACTTAATCACATGATAAGGAGCATCTTTGATTAAAAATTGCTCCTGGATTCTAAACTTATCTCCTTTATTAATAATTTTTTTTTCAAACTGTAAAACCAGAGGTGTAGAAACTCCAGACTTTATGATTATGAACCTGAGACTTACATGTCTCCTTTCATCTTTCCTCATTAAGAGTGTGCTTTTGTGTTCTAGCACACTGTGAATCCCTGTGTGCTTCAGAATGTTCCTTCTATAAGGGTCCTTATTTTTACTTGGCTTTCAGATATAATGGGTATCTCATCAGAATGACAGAGAAATCCTCATATCTCTTTAAGTTTCCAGTGCCTGTTACAGTTCTGGCACACACTAACCTCTCAGTATTTGTTGAATGAATATGTATGTAATTTTTGTAAATCTCTAGAATAAATGGCTTTAAAAATATGTCTACCAAATATTTGGAGGTTTTAAAGATAACATTTTAATTTTAAAAAGTTGTGTTGTTTTATAAGTATCTATAAATTCTATGGGAACATATTCCTAAAAGTAAGAAAAATGAAAAGTTATTATCAGATAAAAAATGCCATGAGAAGTGGCATCTTACTGATGACATCTACTTTCTGATATTTGAAAACTTTCAATTCAGACTTTCTGACTTTTTGTTTTGCAGATTTGGAATGAAAGAACATTTGATACTAGTTACATAAAGGTCTGTACAATTAAGTATTTTTCAGTTTTAAAGATATTCATAAATAACTTTTTAGTCCACATTACAGAAATCAGTAGGAATCTTATAGTAGAAGCACCATACTTTTAGCAACAGTTTTTTTTTTTTATAATTTTTTTTTGTCTTTTTCGTTTTTATTGGTACCAGGGATCAAACTCACACTGCCTGCTTGCAAGGCAGGCACTTATGCCACTGAGCTAAATCCCCAGCCCTTAGCAACAGTTTTGTATTACACTAATTGCTATTATATTATAAATTAATTTATATTATATTAATTATATCTATTATACTAATTAATTATATCTATTATACTAATTATACTGTGCATAAAATTAAAATCTCAATAATGTTTGCATTTCTGATATTAAAGCATAATCAGCAAAGAGGTAGCATTTACATGTGCAGATAATAGTTTTGAGCCACTTTTGATGTATACTTGCATCATTTTAATTTTTATAAACTCATTTTAAGTACTATTATTACTATTTTTCATGAAGTAAAAAGCTGAAAATAGTAATTCTTATCACTGGAAACCAAATAGCTATTTGGTTTTTAGCATTTGTATTTAGCATTTGCTTTTCAGATTGAGCTATTCACTGGTTTACATTTCATGTAGTTTTCCCTGAGTACTATGGTTTGAACCCAATCTGCAAGTTAACATGTTCACTAAACTAGTGTCACATTTTCACTAATCTGTAGTTGCAGAGAAGAGAGGGCATAGATTTGAGAGGGTCCACTGTGCCTTGCACCATATAACTTAGTGGTTCCATTAGAGAGTAAGAATGTGTTGGTGAGTGGCATGGACTGGATATAGAGGGAAAGCATTGAAATCGTTATCAAGGATTGTTGGTGCAGTGTTGTAAATGCTCCAAGTGCAGGGCTGATGGGAACATCAAGAACAAAACTCAAGTTAGTGCATGTTTAGTGTAATAGTCCATGACGAGGATGATAGTATTTTGAAAATACTGAAATCATCATCTAGCATACCGAGCTTGAAGACACTGTCTTAGTTTCTTTTCTCTCACTGCTGAGACAAAATACTTGGCACCCAAAGATAATAGAGAAAAGTCTTATTTAGCTCACAGTTTTTAGAGGTTTTAGTCTATAATTGGCGATGGCAGAGGGGCAACAGTTCCTGGTGGCAGAAGACAGCAGGGTTGACAGCTGAGACTTAGCAACATCTTTCTGCCTCTGCCATGCTCCCTCCAAGCTGCTGAGATTAGGGCTGTGCTAATCCAAGCAGTGCATTGATCCAGTGGTCAGCCACCCTTCAATCCAGCACTCTTAGTCCCAGCATTGCTCCACCAATCAGTCACACACTCTAGATTCTGCCACCTCTGAAAAAAGTCTTTGATCGCATGAGGTGGTTGGGGGGATGTATAGGCAAACCATAACAGTTACTTCAGCTTTTTTCATCATCATTCAATAGCTAAACACTCCTTCGTAACTTTCCCATGTTCTTTTTGCTTGTCAAAAGGTATTAAGGAGGATGCTGGACTCTCAAGGTCTCCAGCAAGTGAATATCATAGCAAGTGATAATCTGTGGGAGCCTATTTCATCATTTATTCTGCGAGACCCTGAACTCTTCAGAGTGATTGATGTGATTGGGTAAGGCCTGCTTTAATTTTGTGCTTGCTCTGGTATTGGCTGTGTTTTTATTTTTGCCTTTTGCCCTGTTGGTAAGGTGTTTACTGAACTAAAGCATTTATAGCTCATAGTTCATTGCTTTCTTTTTGAAATGTATTATTTGAACATCTTTCTATATGATAAAATTTACTAGCAACTTTTAAAAAAGTGAGTCAGTTTGATGTATCCTCTGACTATAACTTTATTATATATCCTTAATTTGTTTTTTGTACCTGGGATCAAACTTATGACATTGAGCTTGCCAGGCAGGTGCTTATGTTACTGAGCTAAATCCCTGGCCCTATCCTATATCCTCAGAGTAGAGTAGATTTGAACCCTGTTCCTTATTCCATTTGTTCTGTTCAGCTCTTTGGGCTCTGAGCTCACTGGACTCAGCATTATTTTTTTTTAAAGTGAATTTGTATTTTATCCATTATGTCAAAGTTTATGAACCTTTGAAAAACAGAATACCTATATGTATAGTATTTGGTCTTTTCTCTTGGGACTACTGTGTTCTCTGAAAATGCTTTTTTTTTAAATGAAAATTTTGAAACTACCAGAAAAATACATAGAATAATGTAGTGAATGTCAGTGTTCCAATCTCTCAGCCTTAGAAATCTTAAGAACTTCTGGCCAGTTTTCTATCTGCCATTCTGGTCCATTCTTATATTGTTTGCTTCCTCTCTTCATTAATTTGAAACAAATTTTGAATATTATTTTTTTCATAAAATCTACCACATTTTAGTGAAAGATAAAATTAGTGAATGATACTTCAGTTTGGCTAAAGATAAAAGTTTCTTTTGCCATAAACAGTGCCTTTAGTACACCTAAAAATGTAATAGGTTCTTGATATTATCAGATAGCTATAATTATTATTTTATAATTTTGTTTAGTTGAATCTGTATTCATTTAGGATTTGTACATTATGATTGGTTGATATTTAAGTATCTTCTAATCTTTAAATTGGTCATTTTTTCTTTTATTTTGTTGAAGAAACTAGGTTGTTTTTCTTGTAAAGTTTGTCACACTTTAAATTTTACTGATTTCAACCTTGTGGTTTACTTTAACATGTTCATATATCCTATTCCTCCATGGAAATTGGTAGAGAAATCTAGATTAGGTTTGGGCTTATTGATTTTTTTTTATGCAAGGGAGGTAACATGTTTGCACATTTATTTTCCAACATTTTATACATTAAAATTAAAATGAATTGCTTTTATCATTACAACTTTCACAAATAGCTCATGTCTTGCGGGAAAACAAGGTTGTATTATCTTCATTATGATTTGTTAACTGTTATTAGAAAATGTCGTTTAATGCTTTGTTTCATTTAGTGCTTCTTGGATTGGCTTCTGTTTTGTACCTAATTAAGAAACTCCTGCTTTCTTTTTTTTTTTTTTTTTTTTTTTTTTTAATACCGGTACCAGGCACGACTGCCTGCTTGCAAGGCAGGCGCTTATGCCACTGAGCTAAATCCCCAGCCCCAACTCCTGCTTTCTTTTCATTTGTGTTGCCTTTCACTCTACCTTTCAAGGACATTTTGCTTTAGGTTCATTTTTTGCATAAAATTAGATTTTGCTCACTCTGAAAAATCTTCATGTTTTAATGAATAAATTAAGGTTAATTATAGTTTTTGATACGATGTTTGTGTTTCCTGTTACCCTGACGTCTTTTGCTATTGGATGATTTATGTATTTACTAATGCAAAATGTTTTGCTATGTGACTTCTTTTCTTTATTCTAGTTTAAAAACATTTGGTAATGTCAAGATATTTTTAACTTTCACAGTTAGATGGGGGGTACTGTTTGCCTTTTATAGGTAGGGCTAGGAATATCTCTAACACATTCCTCTCTGATGCATAGGACAGTTTCCCTGTCTCAACTTTTCAGAAAATAATCCAGCCCAGAAGGTCAATAGTGCTGAAGTTGAGAAACTGCTTTATACTAGTAATCTATTTCTTCTTTTTTAAGGTATTGTCTGCTGGCTTAGGAAAGCAATTTATTTGCTAACTACAGTTTTGGTTTATTTGAATATTGCTTCCCTGGCTTTTCCTCCTATTATGGAATCTTAATTTGCATAATTATGTTAGTGTGTTAACTTTCATACTCCTCTGTGAGAGCAAGCTTCTACTGTCTTGATCTGTCACTTACAAATTATAATCGTTTACTACTTTATTTTTTGGGGGGGTATTGGGATCACACTCAGGACTGCACACTCGCCATGCAGGCACTTATGCTGCTGAGCTAAATCCGGCTAATTGTTTACTTCTAGAGAGTCCTGGTTAACAAACTTACTTGCCCTATCACCCACTTCCTGTCTGTTGTTTTAGCTACATTAGTTGTGTATTAGCCAGTCACGTAATGCATATATGCTATTTAATGACTTTGATTGTAGCTCTACTATTAAATATACTTAGTTTTGATTTTAAGAATCTTTTGCTGAAGTTTTGCTCTTAGTTTCTTGGGTTGGAAGCTTAATATCTAATTGAGTTTTCTTAGCGATTATAAAAGCAGTGTTTCTTTGTTTCTTAATGTTTATTAGTACTGATTATCTATAACCTTAATTCTTAAAGAAAGTTTGGCTAGTTGCTACCCTTTATTGTGGGCTGCGGTCTCTGAAGCTCCTGGGCAAGTGAATAGTGAAGGATAAAATAAAAGAGACAATGAAGTGGCCTGTCTGGGTCCAGGAAGACAAGAGCTTTTTAGAGCCAAGGCAGAACACTTCTCCGGATTGCCTACAATTTTTTAGCATATAGGAAAGTGCATGGAGTATCGGAGGCAAAAGGTGTGATCGTGAACAAGGCCTTTAGAAGAGGGAACAAAGACAGGTCAGGCAGTGAATCTTTGCTTACTTAGGGAACTGCTTGGATCTGTAAGGATGGCAGTGTTGCCCTGAGTTCTGGGTGAGATTTATTTATTGCCCTCAACTGCAGTGTTATCTTGCCTTTAGAGGCATCACAGTGTCACAGACAGGTCTCTTCTCTGACCCCGGGCATGGAGAGTTCTGTTTTCTGCACACCAGTTATGGGATCTCTGGGCAAGTCGCCGAGGCCTGGCAGACTCAGAAGTTAATTTGGAAAGTCAGTTGATGATTCTGAAGCCTGCTCAGCACTGCTTCAAAGTGCTTTCCGTCAATCCTTGATGAGTATCGTAACATTACTCTACTGGTTACTTACGTTAAATGTTGCCTCTCAGATACCTAAGTGCAGGCTTAGTTTCTTTTCCTGATAAGTGATGTGGTACAGTTCTCATTGTCTAAAGAGCATTTTGATTTATCTATGAAGTTTAATAGTTTATACCATTTATCAATACTAAATAAATAGTATATGCCCTTTCAATTTTTCTGCTCCATCCTTTTGGTTTTCTTTTTAGATGTTCTAGTAGGTCATCTTTCCTTGTACTTTTATTCTGTTATTTCTCACAGTTTTTAAATCTCTATATTTCTCTTTGGTTTTCTGTACTTTTATCCTTAGTATTTTCTCCCTTACTATTTTTTAAACTATGTTTTTCTTTCCTGTGTTCCTTCTAGTGTGCTTTCTTTTTTTAAAATTTCAATCTTTTAAAATGTTTTCTCTTTTTAAAAAGTAAGTCTTTCAGATGGGTGCAGTGGCACACACCTGTAATCTCGGGAGGCTGAGGCAGGAGAATCTCTGAGTTCAAGGCCAGCCAGAACTGTATAGTGAAACTCTGCCTCAAAAAAAGACCGAAAAAAAAATCTTTAATTTCTCATGTCCATGTTTAAAAAATTTCACTTCCTTAAAAAGTTTTAAATTAAATACAACATACATAAATACATACATTGCCACATGTCCAAATCGTAAGCGTATAACTGAGTATCACCTTAAACACACCAATAGAACCTCCACCTAGAAAATTTTCAGTACATAAGAAGTTTTCCTTGGAAACCTGTCTGTTCACCAACCTCTCCTTTATTATAGTGGTAACTACTACTATGACTTCTGACAGACTAATTTTGCATGTTTAAAAAGTTTATTAAAATCTCATCTCATAGTGTCTATTACTTTGGCCAAAATTATATTTGTAAGATTAACTCATGATCAATATAGGTCTTGTTATTGTTATTATTGTTGTAAAGCACTTAGATACAAGAATATACCACAGTTTGTCAGTCTGTTCCTTATTAATGAATCAACCTCAATTCAAGTTTAGCCCTGGATTTTAGAGATTCAAAAAAACAACAGGCAGTTACAGCAAACTGGTTGTTACAATGTGTTGGCTGATAAGAGCCACACGGAGCTTTAATTCGTGGTGATAAGAGGTGAGTCATGTTTATACGTTGTGTGACAGTTGTGATAAGAAGAAAAGGTTTTTATTGAGATTTTTTATTATGTTTTTGGGTGGTGGACAATCTGCAGAACCTGCCCTGCTGGGTCAGAATGACCTAGGTGACTGTAGACAAGCCTCTTAGTTTCCCTGATAAGGAATTGTGTGACTTCATTCAGTGGTGTGTGTGTGTGTGTGTGTGTGTGTGTGTGTGTGTGTACAGTCCTTTGGGTTGTTTCCACGTCTTGTCACTGTGGTGGACTGGACTTTTGTTCAGGAGATAGAGGCTCCCGCCTCCTTGGAGAGAGCGCACCTCCCTGCCGGCCCCCTTCACCGTGTGCCTGGCTTGTGCTGTGCCTGTAGGTTTTTGTTGCTCCGTGCTTTCTGGGGTCCGTGTCTGCTGCTGTTACACCGGTTGTTGAGTGTTCTCCCCTTCACTCTGAGTGTTGCTGTCTTACTCAGTTTGGATTCTGCTTCACACAGCTCATCTCCATGGTCAGCCTGTACCACTCCTGAGGGGTCGTTTGCCCCAGTGTGTGAAATTGTCAGATGCTAGACTTGCAGTGTCCAGAACAGTAGACATTAGGCACATATGTCTCACTACAGGAGCACTGGAAATGTGGCAAGCCTAAGTTTAGGTGTCTTGTCAGATACACACTGAATCTTGGAGATTTGTTACTTAAAAAATAAAATGGTAAAATCGCTTTATATGAATCATAATTTTGGTTATATTAAAATATACTACTATTAATCTTCCCACTTCCTTTTGCTTTTTAAATTATTTAGTTACTTTATTGTTATGGAAATACTTGCTTTTTCCTTACCTTACTTTTACCCTCTTTTCTAGGGCTCATTATCCTGGCACGCATGTATCCCAGCATGCAAAGCTGACTAAGAAGAAACTTTGGTCTTCTGAAGATTTTAGCACTTTAAATAATGACGTGGGTGCAGGCTGTTGGGGCCGCATATTAAATCAGAATTATGTCAATGGCAATATGACTTCGTAAGTTATTAAAAAGCTTTTAGAGTTTTTATTGTAACAAATTTAAAAAATCACAATTAGTAAATTTTTAAGAAAGAAGTACAGTGCACTTCTCCATACTCACAACCTTGACTCAATGATTCTAAACATTTTTGCCTTATTTCCTTCAATCACACCTACATGTAAACCTACTTTGCATCAAATCTATACCTATTTTTCTATATTTGAATTTAGTCTACATTAAGTAATGTTGCGCTTTATTGAAGTATAATTTGTATAGTAAAATGCATGTAGTTACTTGAGTTTTGAAAAGCTGCATGCATATATTTTGTTTAGTACTTATAAATGACCTCATATTCACGACACTGCAATCTAACCATTTTATTGTGGGTCTTCAAAGCATAAAGATATTCTCTTACATGATTAAATGTTATTTTCATACGTATGAACATTTAAAAATATTTCTCATATTCAGTCTATGTTCAGATTTTCCTAATTGTCCTTTAAAATCTCATTTATAGTCCCTGCCTTTTTTTAAATAGAAAGATGCAGTCAAACTCATGCATTGCATTTAAAAATTGTTGTATAGCCTTTGGGCTGGGGATGTATCTCAATAGCAGAGTACTTGCCTAGGACATAGGAGGCGTTCTGGGTTTAACCCCCAGTACCAGGGGAAAAATTTATGGGCTTCAAGTCCTTTTTCAATGTACACTAGTTTCCATCCTCACCATTTTATGTGTGTGTGTGTGTGTGTGTGTGTGTGTATGTGTGTATGATAGTGACCTTTCAGAAAGACTAGACCAGTTGTTTGTGGACTAACTGCTTCCCAGTTTGCTGACTGACTTCCATGGGATCTCTTAATTTGTTTAAATGCTTGCAGAACCAATGCTCTTAAGGCAGCATATGACTTGTTATTGCTAAAAGAAGCCTTTCTTAAATGCTTTGGCAACACATTAATTGCAATTAGATTCACATTAACCTTCTAAAGCAATGATAGAGCGAAAGCCAACCAGTATATTTACTTTTGCAGTGTTAATGCATGTTGACCTATGCGTTGCAAATTCTCCTTCTCTTTTTGAAAGAAAAGGTACTTATCATGTCATTTTGCTTATTACGATGATACAATTCCTGGAGGAGAATTTAGAAACTGAAAATAAATACAAAAATTGAAACAAAATCACCTATAATCTTACCATCCTGAAATACTTGTCCCTAAAATTTTGTTATCTGTGGGCTGGGGATTTAGCTCAACGGCATAAGCACCTGCCTTGTAAGCAGGCAGTCGTGAGTTTGATCCCCGGTACCAATAAAAACGAAACAGACAAAAAAAATTTGTTATCTGTTGTATTTTTCATTTACATGTATATATTTTTAATAGAAAATTGAGAACATACTATATAATCCAAGCTGTTTAGCATGGCATTATGAACTTTTCCTCACATTGAAGTATATTTCTGTTTCATCCTTTTCATGCATATGTATATTCTGTTCTGTAAAGCAGTGTTTCTCAAATTTGCCTTACCTTCAGAAGCACTTGAGTCACTTGTGATGCTGATTCCTAGGCAGCCGCCTGTACTTAACCATGGGGAAGGAAAGGCTTCTGGGGTTTTGTCTGTTTAGCCAGTGCTCCAGGTGATTCTGATGCCACCAAAGTTTGGGAAACAGCAATGTAGAAAATGTTTCTTTGAATTTTCCTTTTCCTACAAGTTAAAGTTGTTTCTAATTAGTAGCTTAATACAAGCTGAAAGGATCAGTTGGTGCAGTTGTTTTTATATACATCTATAATTATTTCTTAGGATGTGTGCTTAGAAATGGGATGTTGGGGGAACAGGTATACGGGGTGTGAAGGCTTTTATACATGTTTGAGAATGTGAGAGCTTGTTTCCATTTTTACTTCTGTCATTAGCTAGAGAGGATTCCACACATCTTGCAAATCTAAAAAAATCATGAGAAGTCTTACCACGTTTATGGGTAGTTTTTTAAAATTAGGACTATTGTTTTAATTAGGACTATTGTTTCAATTAGGACTATTTTATCTACTTTGTGTTGAGAGAATCAGAAGCCTTTGATTTGCTGAGAATGCCTGATATTTTTTATGATAGATGAGGACTGATCAGAAGAATGAAATTCTGTGAGTCAGCTTTGTTTTTTTAGCTGTGAGGCATCTCGATATGAGAACTTCCTGTTTATGGTTGGATTTTCTGAGAACCATAGAGAACAATCTTAGGGTTCAGAAACTGCTGTGGACTAGTAGGGTCAAAGGGCACACCACCAAGCTGATCCAGTTAGTAATTGCAACTGAAGCAAAATGGTAGAAGATCCTGTTTCATACTCTGTACACAGTAGTACATTTAATCCTCACAAAGACTTGGTGAGCTAGGTACAGTTATCATCCTCATTTTACAGATGAGGAAACTGAGGTCCAGAGAGGTTTAAGTGGTGGAACCATGATTTGAACCCACACAGTCTACTCTTAAGAGTTTTCAGTTGTAAAACTTTGCAACAGTTCAAAGTCAAGTTCATAAAATTATGTCCTGAAACTGGGACATTAAGAAGCCTGACTTGTCAAAAGGAAAGCAGGTATGGATTAAGTTTTTATTTGATCAAATTTGTGACATGTCCAGTACTGATAGGGTGTGATTCATCTTCTGGCTGTAGCATCGTACATGAAAAAAGTACATCTGTATTTTTTCATTATGTGAATGACCATCAAAAATGTTTACACAGTTTTTTTTTTTTAACATTGTGAGTGATTTTAAAGCAACTTCTGTTTTCTCATTTTTAATGGTCATTTTGTGGTCATTTATATACCCCAATATGATACAGACTTTTCCCTCTAGGCTTTTAGACATTTACATTTTTATCACAAATTGTTTTGGTGTTTCTTTTTTTTTTGTCAAACCAATCTTCAGTACCATCGCTTGGAACTTGGTGGCTAGTTATTACCAAGAGTTGCCTTACGGACGATGTGGATTGATGACTGCCCAAGAGCCGTGGAGTGGGCACTATGTCATAGAATCTCCTATCTGGGTATCAGGTATGGTGCAGATTCCTTCTCTCCCTTAATTTCTAATAGGCAAAATAGGAAACATGTGAAGGAGACTGTGAAATCTCTGTGTGTGTCTATATTTTAAGTATATTTCTATTGTGAGATTTGGCCTAAGTTTTAGAAGAATATTTTGTGTAACTAGACAACTCTCTGTATTTCATACTTGATTGTTCTAAGACCAGGCCCTTAGAAAATAATAAGGAAGGAAGAGGAAAAGAGGAGGGACAGGGAGTGTCTACTGATGGAGACAGAGCTAATAACCTAAGTATGTATCACAAATCAGGATAATTGCTAATAAAATGGTGTGTTTATAAAGATTCATTCCAACTCCCAACTCAGGTTATCTAAAAGTCCTAAACTTTGTTTTGGAGGCACTTTATTTTTTAATACTGACACATTTTTATAGATTAGAATGGTAATCTAACAAAATCAAGATGCATGAATAACAAATATTAAACGATCCACAAATATTACAGCTATTGAATCATTAAATAGTGAAGTAATTATAAGCATTATGGGAAATATTATGGTTAGATTGTTCCTTAAATCTACTGGTATGTGTTATTAAAGGCCAATTTTCCGAAAATGATAAAATCATGACTCATTTAGTTAAAAATGAGCACATGCTGAAGATTTTTTTGTATTACTAATGAGTTATGAAAGAACAAGGCAGATGTTAGAATTAGTTTAAAAAAAAGTCAATACAGCATCAATTTGAGAGAGTGAAGAAATTTGAGATGAACTGTAAACAAAGACAAGCTGAGTTTCTTAAACCAGGAGAAAATCAATTGAATATCTCTGTCAGACAAGATGTAATTTGCATAGGTCAAAGACATGGATATAAATACATTCATTTTCATTGAAAATAAAAGTTTTTCAGTGTTATGCATCAGTGTTATGCATTAGTTGCAAGGGAAGTTGAAATCATACAATGGATGACATGGTTTCACTTTTTCATGAAGTGATATAACCATGTTAATCAATGTAATGTAAATAAAATTTTAAAATCTATCATTAATACTGAAAATTTTCTGCTTTTTTGTAAAAATATTAACCAATGACCATTTTGTTTTAAAATAATAATAATCATAATCATATGTTTAAAAAATTTCTTTACAAGTAAAAGACTTTCAGAAAAAAATTATGAATTCAGAGTGAACTTGTTTTAATTTTAAACCCAGATTTTGGTAAGTTTTAAAAATTCTCACAGAGATTTGCAATCAGATTAGTTATGCCTTCATGACAGTATCTTAAATTCCTTAAATTCCAAATGTATGGAAAAGTTAAGTTGGGCTTGTGTTGGTTAACCTCTTTAAGTGTTGAAATTGTTGGTCCCGATTACCTGGGTGAACTACTATGTAATATACTCTTTCCAATTTATTTTACCTGTGTTTCTAAGAGCCTTCCTGTAGTTAGATCCAGCTTTTAACTAGATTGATTATTTGAAAACTGAAACATGAGTTTGCCAAGTACTTTCCCCCAGTATAGAAAATAACTTGTTAGAGTCTATCCCACTCAAAATTGGTAGGTATTTTTTTCAAACCTATCATTACCATTTTTATCACATCTTATTTATCTTACCGCCCTCTTTTTCTCCCCCTACCTTTTTTTTGTAGCTCATACCACTCAGTTTACTCAGCCAGGTTGGTATTACCTGAAGACAGTCGGCCATTTAAAGCAAGGTGGAAGCTACGTAGCTCTGACTGATGGCTTAGGTAACCTCACTATCATCGTTGAAACTATGGTAATTTTTGGTTGTTGATATTGGATTAACTCACTTCTTTTGTGTTGGAAACAGCACAATACAAAACAGAACACATTTGTTGTTTGGTTTTATACACACACACACACACACACACACACACACACACACACGTGCACGAATGCATACACCAAGGTCTTAAAGCTTTTGTTTTAAAATTTTAGCCCTGAGTCAGTAAAATAAGCAACAGAACTCTCTGGTTTATGTAAAATTGCTCTCATCTTTACTGCACTTGAGTTTCTGGCAAGTGGGGCAAAGTCAAGTTACCCGTTTAAAATGTGTGGAGGAGACCTGCAGGACCTTCCCTCACCCTGATACACAATCGCATGGAGAATGGTTTTCTCCATTTTCATCACAAGGGCAGGAGTTGCTTTGGGAGGGTCTTTAGCCTGTTGAGAAAAGGGGCTCTAAAGTTCTAGCAGCTCAGAAGCTGCAGCAGGGAGGGAAAAGGTCTGATGGGTCAAAAGAGGGATGGAGAAGGGCAGGGTTTGGAGTGGAGCATGTCAGGGACCTAGTAAAGATTGATGGTGAATAAGTAAAGGGGAATAAGTAAAGATTGATGGTGACGCAGTCAGGAAGGAGGAGCAGAACCGGGTGGAAAGGTCTTAGGGGTGCCCATCTGCGGAGAACTTGAGCTTCTTAAAGAGCCCAGTGAAGTTCAGAAGAGAGGAGGGGAGACAGCTGGTAGCATCTGTCATCATCACGGGTTTCAGTTGATCAAGAAGTTCCCATGGGAGAAGCAGGATCTAATCCAGATTACCCAGAAGCTCTAAAAATAAGATGAATGTCAGCCTACAATTTGGCTGACTCCTCACCACAGAGCTCTTAAAAATATTTTAAAACTACTTTAAAAATTTGAGACTATTTTATCAGGTTTCAGCAAGGGCAAACAATAAATATTGTAGGTTTTTAAAAACCAAATATATCGAACAGGTGAGTTAGAATCAAAACAAGCCTTTTTATGACTTACCGTACACAAAGGCAGGCAGAAAGAAGCAGCCCTCCCAAGACCCAAGAGCCCTCCCAAAGAAAGAGTGACAGCTAGTCCTCCTCCATGGAGCTGGGAACAGTCATTATGGGAGCTGCAAGAGGGGTACAACCCACATTTGGGTGTGGGTCTCCCACAATCTGTATTTGGGTGTGTGTATAAACAAAACCACAGCTTAACTGCTCCTGACCTGCAAAATGTCAGGCTAAATTACTACCCAAATGGAAACAAAAGAGCAGTAATTCCTGAGGTGGAAATTAATTGGCACACGAAGGTTAAATCAAGCCTATTTTTCCTGCTAATCTGATCGTGGACAGGTGAGGACTAGGAGTGTTGTGTTTTGTTCTGGTTTGATTGTTTCGTTAGCATTACATTGCCAGCCGTGTATGAGGGTGTGAGGTAGGATTTTATTGTACTATAGTTTGGTTTGTATTTTTCTGTTGATTGATAATGTCAAACTTCTTTTCATGGGCTTACTGGCTAAGTGTGTATCTCCTTTGGGAGAACTGTTGATTTATTTGCATTGCCTGCTTTTAAAATTGAGAGATTTGTGGTGTTATTATTAAGTTGCAAGGATTTTTTTATGTATATAATCTGTATAAAAATCTCTTACTGGATATATTGGACATATAATTTGCAGAGAATTTTCTCTCATTCTGTGGTTGCTTTTTCAGATTCTTACAGTGCCGTTTGAAATAAAAAAGTTTAAAATTCTGGATGAGGTCCACTTTATTTTTCTGTTTTGTGCTTTTATTATTCAATCTCAGAATCCATAACTTAATTCAAAGTTATAAAAGTTTATACTTGTTTTCTTCTAATAGTCTTTATAGTTTAAAATCTTACATTTAGGTCTTTGATCCATGTTATTTCTTAATGGATGTTAGCTACTTTTCCAATTTAACTCTTGTAGGTAGTTACCCAATTTTGCTGCACTATTTATTGAAAAGACTATCCTTTGCTTTTGAATTGTGTAGCATGCAGGTTGAGATTAAATTTTAAGGGTATCTATGGAATTTCCATGCCGTTCACTGGCCTGTATATCTGATCTTAGATGGATGCAGTGTTATCTGTAGTTCTGTGTTCAGTTTTGGAATCAGAAATGTGAGTCCTCCAACTTTGTTCTTATTTAAAATTGTTTGGCTATTGCATGTCCCTCACAGTTCCAAATTAATTTTAGAATCAGCTTATTAGTTTCTGTGAAGGGACCAAGAAGCATTTTTGGTAGACATTTTGCTTAATCTGTAGGTTAATTGGGAGAGTATTGCTATTTACACAGATCATATATTTATTCCAGTGCATGAATATAAGATGTCTTTCTATTCATTTTGTCTTAATTTCCTTCTTATATTTGTAGTTTTAAGTAAATACATCTTACACTTCTTGTTAAAATTGTTATTCCTATGTTTTATTCTTTTTGATGATGTTACAGTACTTAGTTTTATATCTTCTTTTCCAATCTAGATGCTTTTTCTTTTCCTTTTCTAATTGTCCTTGATAATACATTTAGTACAGTGTGAAGTGAGACTGTATATCCTTTTCCTGTTTTAGATTTTAAGACAATCTCTATTACATGTAAGGTTTTTTCTTTTCTTTCTGGTAAGTGAATGAAAAGTTAAGATGGGAAATTCCCTTCTATTCTTAGTTTGGGGAGCCTTTTAAATGCTGTTAGTGTCTATTGACATGCTCATCTGGTCTTGTCCTTATAATATGGTGTATTATGTTGCAAGATTTTTGTAAGTGGAAGCACTCATGAATTCCTGATGATCATACAGTCCTTTTCATTTTTTGCCAGAGTTAGAGTATTTATAATGATTTTGTGCCTGTTCATAAGAAATATTAATCTGCAATTGTCTTTGACTGATTTTGTTAACTGGGAGTATCATCCATTAGAGTGAATTGGGAAATGTTTGACATTGGTAGAATTCATCCATAAATATACTGGTCTTGGAATTTTCCTTCACAAACAGTTTGGCTTACTGATCTTTTAATTAATTGTAAATCTACTCAGATTTTATATTATTTCAATAGATGTATTTTTTTCTGTAACTGTCATTTCAGTCTGTTATTCACTTTATTTACATGTAATTGTACATAGTACTTCATTTTTGTTGTGTGAGGTGGGTACAGATGTTTTTGTTTCATGCTTAATGTTAGTAATCTGAGTCTTCTGTCTCTTTAGTCTGCCTAAAAATTTGTTCAATTTTGTTCATGTTTTCAAAGGAACAACTTTAACTTTTGTTGATATGTGCTACTGTTCATTATTTATTGCAGTAATTCCCACTTTAGTGTTTATTATTTTTTCTTCTGTTTCCTTTAGAATTGATTTGCTCTTTATTATTTTTTCATTTCTTAAGGTGGTAGATTATTGCTTGGAAATACTACTGCTTTTATAGTATGTCTGTCATTTGTCTGTAAATAGTACCTTAGTGTGTCCTACAAGTTTTGTTTTATTTCCATTTTTATCCACCTCAAAGTATTTTTTATTTCTCTTGTGATTTTTTTCTTTGACCTATTGAGTCTTTGGAAATATGTTGTTTAATAGCCACATTCCTTTGAGTTTGCCTGTTACTTTTATTGATTTTTCATTTTATTGCATTACAAACATACTTTATGTTAATTCAGTCCTCTTAAATTTATTATTTTTTATTTCATTGCCGGATAGAGGGGGTCTGTCCTGGGGATGCGTAGTTTAGGATGGTCTGCTGTATGCAGTGCTGTGTAAATGCTTCTTAGGTTTGTTTGGTTTACCGTGGTGTTCATCTTCTTTTCCCTAATTCTGTTGGTTTTATCTCATATTATTTTGAGATTTTCTTGCTGGCTGTAACTATGTTTATAACCTCTATATTTTTCTGATAGGTTTCCCTGTTTACTAGAGACACTTTCGTCTCTACTGTGGTTTTCCTTTGTTTTGAAATATATCTTGTCTGCTGTTCCTAGGCATTACCACTCTGTTGTTTCCATTATATCTTTCCTCGTTTTTACTTTTAGTCTGCTTGGTCTTTAGATCTAAAGTATATCTTTTGAATAGTATATATGGGATTTTGCTTTTGTAAAAAAATCTGAACTTTTGACTAGATTGTTTAACCTCCTAGCAGTGTTAATATTGATAAAATTAGATTTATAACTGTCTTCTTAGTTTTTATTTTTTGTGTGGTACATTTTTTCCATCTCCCTCCCCTACTGTCTTCTTTTGTAGTAAATGAGTATTTTTAGATATAACATTTTAGTTCCTTTAATGATTTTTTCACTGTACTTTTGTGACTTTTTTGTTTTAGAGGTGGTTGTAGAGTTTATTACATGCATCTTATCAGAATTACTTCAGATTTACATTCACTGAACTCAGTGAGATATGGAAAAGTTATTTTTATGTTGCTCTATTCCCTTTTTTAATTACTTTAGTAGTGTACATCATACTTATATGCATTATAAACATATATTATTTATGTTTATGTTTACATATTGTATATGTATCAAATATTGTTAAATTATTTTATGTACAAATTTACATATTTTAACTATATGAAGAGAAGCCAGGATGTATTTATACTATATTTTATTTATCATTCTTTTAATTTAAATCTGTAGATTTGAGTTACATTCTAGTGTCATTTTCTTCTTCCAAATATGTTTTTCTTTCTTTCTAACTCCTTTTTCCTGCTGTTAGGAATTATATTCCCTCTGTATCTGTGCCCAGCACTACAGTTACATGCATAATGTCTTATAAACTTTGAAAATCTGTTATGAGTAGAAGGGAGAAAAAATAGGCACTTTTTACTGTTTTTATAATTTCACAATTGCCTTTACCAATATGTGTGTTTGCGGATTTGAGTTCCTATCTGGGGTCACTTGCTTTCAGTTTGAAGTACTACTTCTATGAGACCTTTGTCTGGTTTCAACACATTGGCTTAGCTTTTTGTTTATCTGTGAATATCTTTATCTTTCCCTCATTTTTTTGAAAGGTAGTTTTAATAGATACAGGATTCTTTTCCAATGGTGTTTTTCTTTGAGTACTTTAAATATGTTGTCCACCAGTGTTTAAGATTATGAATCAACCGTTAAATTTACTAAGGTTCCCTTGTGATAAGTTGTTTTTTTATTGCTGCTTTCAAGATTTCTTTGACTTCAGATTTGCAGTGTCTTCTGTGTAAATCTCTTTGCATTCATTCTTGAACTTTGTTGAACTTCTTGGATACATTGATTTTTTTAAATCTTATTTAAGAAGTTTCAAGTTATAATTTGTTTAAATGTTTTCTATTTTTCCTTGGTTCAAAGATTATTTAACAAGTTAGTATCTAAATATTTTAGAATTTTCCAGAGAGTTTTTATTTTTCTGTTATTCATTTCTGCTTTAACTTAATGTGATAAGAAATACACTTTGTGTGACTTGAATGTTTTGTAATCTATTAAAACTTCTTTGGCGGATAAGGATTTGGTGTTCCGAGTTCCATGTGCATTTGAAAAGAATGTACCTTCTGTTGTTGTTGGATGGAGTGATCTCAACAGTGTTGTTCAAATCTCCTCCATCTCTACTGATTTTCTGTCTAGTTGCATTGTCAACTATTGAGAATGTGGTATTAAAATAATCAATTATGATGACCGTTTTTAAATTTGTCAGCAATGCCTGGGGTAGGGCCTCATACTGTAGGTGCTCTGTGATTGTTGCACCCCCTGGAGTAGGATTTCTATCTCAAAGCTGTCTTGATTGCAGCCTATAGCAGTGACTATTTAGCAAAAGATGACAGCAAGATGAAAACTATTTAAGATCCTTGTCAGTGGAAATGGCCAAGCTTTTGTTTTTTGATTGATATGTTTTTCTTGGAAAACATAACAAACAATAATTCTGAGAGTGAACATCTCTGGAGTTTATCTATGAACTCAAAGTCTGATTCACTTGAACATCTCTGGAGTTTATCTATGAACTCAAAGTCTGATTCACTTGAAGAATCACTGAGATTTGCTTTTTAGTGGACACATACAATATATAATCATTAAAATTGTTAGAAAAATCTTAAAATTGGAAGCATATTTATATTTTTTACCTAATGTGTAGCATTGCTGTTAATCTTGGGGCATATATTATTTAAATTTTTCCTTCCTAAAATAGCTTGCATATCATCTGGCGAATGACCTGGCCTTTTTTTTTATTCCCTCAGAGTCGCAGACATTCTAAGTGTATTCGGCCGTATCTCCCTTTTTACAATGTGTCAGCACAATCAGCTACCTTTGTTCTTAAGGGATCTTTTGTAAGTACATATATGTGCCTTTTATTTTGATTTGGGAATTTATGTATTCTATCCCAGCCCCAGGTTTCAATTGAAACTACTCAGGATTTGCAGATGAGTGGATACTTCCCTGGTGTCCTTTGTCTTCTAACTGTTTCATCAGAAAGAAGGCAGTAGGAAATAGAGCTCTCTGTGTTTTTGAGGAACACATACAAAACTCATCTCCAAGAAAATAATTCTTGGTGGTCTAAACATTAAGGAACTTTCAAATATTGCTCGATGAACTATTTTATAAGTCCACAGATAAAACCCCAAACCACCAGATTCTTGCTATTTTCTACTTCTTGTTAAATTTTAATTAAGAAAGAAAACACAGTTATCTTTTCTGCTTACTAATGTCATAGAAGTTGTTTTTTTTTTTCATACCAGAGAATTCTTAAATAGATTTTACAGGTTCAATAATGAGTATTTGTGAAGCAAAGACATTACAATCTCCTCTTTAACATTTTCCAGAATATTTTAGTGTTCATAGGAGATGAAATATTTGCTTGAACAATATCTTTCTAGTTTCAAAAATGTTGCCATTTAAGATTTGAAATGATTCTTTCAGTAAATAGAAACAGAGTATGCATTATCATTGCTCTGTCCTTTCTGGAATTGCTTTTGGAAATTCATAGAGAATGTGATACCTTAGTCCATCATGCTTTCTTGTATTTTTTTTTTCCCCAGAGTGAAATACCAGAGCTACGGATGTGGTATACCAAATTCGGAAAACCATCTGAGAGAGTTCTTTTTAAACAACGGGATTCTCTATGGGTAGTTTTAAAATCAATTCCTATATTTTAGTCACTACAGCTGCAAAGTAGTAAAAAGGAATAGAAATTTGACTAATGAACTCAAGGTATTTGGCTGGGTAGGCTTTTATAACTGATCATAAGGCAGATACATTTGTCCCTGCCCATTTTTCTTACATAGAACTTCTTTTTAGGGCATTATAGAAGGACATCTATTTGTCGGTGGTTTTAGATACTAGTTTGTCTTGGTGCATGGTTGCCATCACCTGGTTCCCAAGTGAGAAATTTGTCTTAGTTAATTCCCTCACCTTCTGTATTCAACTGGCAACCAATACAGACAGTTCTGTCGTCAAATACTCCTTTTACTCAGTCCTAATTTTTCATTCCACTGCACCTGCCCGTTCCTTATTAGTACGGTCCTGGATTTCATAAACTATTTCCCACGTTTCCAGCCTCCAGTCTGACTCCCTCAAGACCTGCCAGCACTCTGCCACAGTGTGATTTGTCTAAAATATGGATCTGACTGCTGTCAGTGCCTCACCCAGAAGGCATGGGTGCCTGTCCGTGTCAGTTGGCATTCCTTAGCAATGACCCCCACTGTGCTGTTGTGCGGTGGAAGACGGCGGTCCTTCCTACATCCATGGCCTGTGAAACGGGCCGTTCATCAAATGCTTTTTTTCAAATGCTTTTTCCTTCTCTCAGAATGGCTTTTCTTCATCTTCGTTATCTTTAAGGCTCATTTTCTGTGTCACTTCCTCTGCAGCTCCTGCCCTCTGTCTCTCCCGTGTTAGCAACGGCCACGTAGAACTGTGTGCCCAACACCTTCCTCCTGCACTGCACACCTTGCCTACGTATAGCTTGGTGGCCCACTGGCCTACTCAGGAAAGGCTGTTTTGCAAAGAATGAGTTGTCCGAAGCAAGAGTACTAACTTCACCTCTTTGGCACAAATCTGCTACCATTCTGATAATTATTAGTGTTCAAATAATCAGTCACCATCAATAATTAAGCACCCATTATGTATTCAGTTATAAAAAAGAGCATCACATTGTTTAATCTTCCCAGCAACCTTGTAATCTATGTATTTTTCCCCTTGATTTTATTGATGAGGGAGAAAGGCTAGAGATTAGGTTGCCAAGATCATAAATGTAATGTATCACCTAACTTGGCTCATTGACATAGTTAAACATGTAATGAGCAAGGTTTTTCTGGAATTGTAGGAGATTTTCTGTGATTAGAAGTGGAGTCAACAGAGAGATTACATGGACTCCCTTTGGGAAGTCCTGCAAGATACATAAGCAAGTCTTTTAGCAAGAAGTGAATATATACAAGTTTTAAAGAGCTTGCGGTGTAATTGAGAGGTGTAGGCTAATAGGAATCGATGATGGGATCCTCGAGGCCTTCCTCTGTGAAATGGAACTCTTCAAAACTCCTTTCTACAGTGGAATTTTATAGTCTTCTAAAACACTTAAGAAAAAAGATCTAAGGGTCTTGTTAGTGTGTCTTTCACAAGTACTTAGAAGTCCTAAAAGAGACAAGTTGGGCTTTTCTTTAGCTTTTGAAAGCTACTTTTCCATAGCCGAGGTGAGCCGTGCACGCAGCCTTGACTACCTGGTGTCTTCCCTTTCAGCTCCTGGGCGGCAACGGCACCTTCACCCTGGAACTGAAGGAGGACGAGCTGTTCACGCTCACCACGCTCACCACGGGTCGCAAAGGAAGCCACCCACCGCCTCCCAAATCCCAGCGGTTCCCGAGCGTCTACAAGGACAATTTCAACGTTGGTAAGTGTGCTTCCCTGCCGTGTAATTAGGTCTGGATCTGCCGTGGGAGTTGCAGATCAGTTTCTATCAGGCCGAGAGGAAGCATCATGGCGTGACTGTCACAGTGGACTCAGCTCTGAAATCTCTAGGTGCTCTAAGAAGGCCTAAGTGTTACATTACCGTAAGGTACACCTCCGTGTGTGGGCCCTGTTTTTCTTTTTGTCTTGCTCCTTTTGAGATATGGTCTCAGTATATAATTTAGATCAGTCTTGAACTTGCTGTGTAGCGCAAGCTGGCTTCCAATCCAAGTTCCTGCTGCCCTGGCTTTCCAAGTTGCCAGGATTGCAGCCGTGCCCCACCACGCCATTAGGACATGCCTGTGCTTTCCAGTGCTAGAAAAGATGGAGTTCGTTGGAGAATGGAAGTTAATTTGAGCTTCTTTTTGGTGAAAGTTAAGATTCATAGCCCTTGCTGGCATTTTCTTTTTGTGTGGAGATTAAACCACGTTAATGTCTTGTCTTTCCGTGGTGCCAGTGAATTGGGTAGTTACGTGGTACGTGGATAACCAACTCATTGTGTGCCCTTTAGCTTCTGCTACCGCTACCCTGGATGTTAGCAAGGACTGTGCAAAAGCTGTCAGAAAAGCTTTGTTACAGATAGTTTAGAAAACCCATTTGAAAAAAAAAAGATTTTATGATTTTCTCTTTCTTTTCCTTTCTTTCTTTCTTCCTTCCTTCCTTCCTTCCTTGTCTTTTTGAGACCGGGTCTCACTATGCAGTTCAGGCTGGCCTAGAACTCACTTTGTAGCTCAGGCTGGCCTAGAACTACAGCGATCCTCCTGCCTCAGCCTTCTGAGTGCTGAGATGACAGGCTTGCACCACCATGCCTGGCTCATGTGTTCCTAAATTGCTTACCAAATAACAAAATTTGTGATTCATAAATGGTCTATAGAATTAGTTGCCTCAGAGTTTTATAGGTAAATGGAGGCAACTTGAGATTATTCTCATAAGTGAAATAAATCAGAGTCACATTTGTAAATATTGGGTTGTTTCTCTAGTGTAAAAAATAAATAATAATTAAAAAATTGAAAGACTAATAAGATCCAAAATGTATACTAGATATTGTAATAATGAAAGGGGAAAGAAAGTACTTGAAAAGAAAGAAACAACTTGTAGCTATACACATATAACTGTATGTATGTTTAAGTGTGCAAGATAGCTAACCAGACTACTAATTTGATAGGCCAACAAACAGAATATTTGTGCTATCATTGTTTGATTGTCTGTTCACTTTTTATACTTTTGATTTTGTAACTTGAACAACTACTTCTAAGATAACAACATGTAATATCAACTAATGATGATTTCTTAATGTTATTTTTTTGAAATTCTGTATCATGTCTACCCCTTTTTTTGTTTTGTTTTGTTTTGTTTTGCTGCAGAGACAGATCAGGTAGTTTTATAATCTGTTCCTAAAGTTTGTAGTCTTAGGAGAGAAAATGGAGGTGACTGGTATTGTTAGAGAGCAGTTTAAATCTCATTTGGGCTGTAGGGTGAGAAGGATTTTTCCATCAAAATTACACTCCAGCCAGCCCCGGCCAGCCACACTGCTCCAGGCTGTTGTGTAACGCCCCTTTGGAAGGTTGTGCTGGAGTCTCTTCAACTGTTTGAAGATAGAATGATAAAACAATTGGCAAATATTAAATGATACAGAAATCAGTCTGTTAGTCCTAAACTCTAATCCTTAGTTATAAGTATTATTTGTTTACTTAAAACAATATAAATAAAGTATTTTAAAATACACCTTGTGGTATCAGAGAGAGAGAGAGAAAGAGAGAGAGATTTTGTAGGAATCTGATACTAAACAGATAATTTATTGTTCTCTGAACAGATTTCCCGTTTTTTAGTGAAGCGCCAAATTTTGCTGACCAGACGGGTGTGTTCGAGTATTACATAAACCCTGAGGACCCCGGAGAGCACCGCTTCACCCTGCGCCAGGTTCTCAACCAGCGCCCTATTACATGGGCTGCAGATGCTTCCAGCACGATCAGCATCATCGGAGACTACCATTGGTGTGTAAGCCCCGTGCGCGCAGTGTAGACCTGGCTCACATAGCCTGGTAATGTCATCGGGTCTGTTCTGAAGTGGAGTTTCCCGGACTCCTCCTTGTGCGAGAACCCATCCGCACATAGTAACTGTAGAGCATCCTCATGACCGCAAACCGGCCACTCATTGTTTTGCTGCCTTGATGTCCTGCTTTCACATTTGCCCAGTTTAATTGTGTTCTTATAGAAGAGATTTGATTTTTATGTCAAAATTGAGAACTTGGAGCCCAATTACCAATTTGATATTTTTTGTGTGATTTTTTTTTTCTTTTTGCTAGTTGACTTATTGGTCTAGATTGCCACCTGCTGGATCATTAGTAGAATTACACTCTCAGCTTTCATAGAAATTCTATTTACCAAGAGATTTAATAGGAGATGGCAATGGGGAAAAGCAAATCTGCTTCTGTTGGCTAGAAATTTCTACTCTTTTCTGTAGATATTATTTATTAAAGAGGCAAGTTGTATTTATTATTCACCTAAAATGTAATTACCAGGTGTTTCACTTTAATTTTGATATAAAATTTCAATTATATTGAATTATATTATTTTCCATTTTTCTCTGTAGTATAATTTCACTATTGTAATACACACATACAGACATATATACATGTACTCGCATACACATGCATTAAAAGTGTGAAGATAAATAATGCCAAACTGTGAAATAGCCATATCTGAAGCTTGGAAACTGTACAAGAATGAGACAATCTGGAAAGATTCTTGAATTAATTATTCACCAAATGCTACAGAAAGTCTTTTTCCTTTTTGTTTTATTTGTTTTCTGAGATTAGTTTTCTTATGTGATCCAGACTGCCTGTCATTATCCTCTTCCTCAACCTCGCCTCTTTTTCCTGTAGGTATTGCCTCACTCCCAATTGTGAGTCCTTGTTTTAGTCCCAAGCTTTTATGTAAACCTCAATTATCCAGAGTCTTTGGAGCCCTTGGACTGTTACTGAGGCAGAGTGGAGAATTCTTTGGTGGTTCAGATGGAGTGTGGTTACTCGTCTCCTTACAAAACAGAAATACTGCTTGCCATGCTCTCTATATGGGAGACACTTCGCCAGGCTCTCTGGTCATGCAGTGGAGTGTGGGACTTCTGCATTTGTGACAAGCAGTCTTGTAAGACTGGTTTAAGTGTCCAAACTATGAGCCTCCCTGTTTTGATCATCAGAGTAAAAACCAGGCACCATAGAACACCGTTGACTTTTCTGGGGCAAGCCCTACCTGTGGTCCTCTGATTTTTGTAGAGAACTCTCTCCAAATCAGACTTTCTTCTATCCATCCATTTCAGATGCCAGAATAGTTGAGAGGTGACTTAATTATAGTAAAGAGATGAGATACGGCACTGTCCAGAGATTTACAACAACAACAACAAAAATCCCTTCTGTATTTAAAGATTTTACATTTCTCAAATAGTAATGTTCAGTTTTAGCTATGATCTATTGCAGAGCGCACAAAGGGTAAGGAAGTGAAGAAGAGAGTGATGGGGGTGTTGTTAGAGAAGAGTGATATGTTCTAAAAAGAAGCAGGAAGCAGGGAGCGATGGTGATTCATACACAAAGGACTACTTTGTCTTTCTTAACCCCATTTCACCGTGGGCGTACCTCTTTCCTGCTACCAAATCAGTTCTGTATGCTATGCTTCCTCTAAGATCTTTCCTAATTTGGTCTCTTCTGTTTATTCTTGGTTGTTTCCCAATATTTCATCTTCTGTTTGAGGCAGCCATATCTGCTCAGAGATCCATAGACCCTCATATGTTCAATTTAAATTAAATTGAAATAGTTTATCTATAGCGCTATATTAGAAATTCAGTTCTTAAAGGTACACAGTACGTGGTTCAAGGAATTGTATTGTGTAGTGAACCGTCTCTACGCAGCCTTTGTTGAGTACCAAAACGGTAATTTGACCATACTGTGAAGCTACCTGAGATTTTATCTTTTGTTAATAAGCTTTGTTTGCCATGTGAAGAGAGCCACAAAATTACATTTCCTTGCGTGCAATTGAATTCTCCATCCTTTTGATCAAATTTTCTTAATATGTTGCTGGTTCTTGTTCCCTCAGCATAACAGAAATAGCAGGAAAACAAACCACATTATTATTCTATTTCATTCATTACTTACGCAATTGCCCAGCAAGTTATGATGCCAAGATTCATTTATTCTGGAAACAGGGAAAAGTCCCTTTTTTTGTTGTCCAGCTGTAAATAGAATCAGTTTGTGGTACCCATAGTATCTTGCACTTCCATACTGATGAGGCAGAAAAGATGTAGGGGGTTTACATAATAATGCTAATCCTTAGTGGCTTCTCTCTGGGATAATCTATAGGGAGAAAAGCTCCCCCTGATGTCAGAGTGTATGGAGGGCTGGCCTTGAATTCCTTCCTGTTTGATCTTCCTGAAAAGCAGCCTAGCTCTGATTAGGAATTAAATGTGAATCTTCCTGATCATGTGCCTATTGTACGTGCTCCATATATATCTCCATCTATCTCTGTCTCTGTCTCTATCTCTGTCCATATCTCTCTGACTGTATCTCTGTCTCTATCTCTGGCTGCCTGCCTAGGTATCTGTCTTCCTTTATGTAGTAAAATTTGACTGTGCTAAATTTTCTAAGAAGAAACTCCGAGGAATGCAAAGACCATGCAATTGTGGATCCAATACTATCCTACCCGATTTCTAAAATATATTTCTTTCCAATCTTTCTTTAGCTGAATTACTGGCTTTATTACTTGGCTATAGGCAAGCCTTTTTTTCTTTTCATGTGCAGTTAGCTGTTGAATAGGAAGTGGATTTTTTTCAGAGATCATGTTGGTTTGGAGTGGTTTTATTATCTCAGAAAGAAAGTGCTACAGCCAATAGAATGTGTAAAAGGAAATTCAGAGATGAACTCATTGTAAAAGCTCTGATAGTTTCTAGTTTGCTGACTCTTTCCCCTCCTTTGACATATTTCTGTGAGTTGGGGAGCCTAGAACCAAGGGTTTATTGCCTCAGTCTAGGCAGAGAAGCTCTGTGAGGGGAAATGGTTCTCTAGATAGAATTCCTTGAACAGTAGCATCCGTGCCACTTGGCAAGCTGTTAAACTCACACATTCAGGGGCCACCCCAGACTGCCTGCCTGAGTCAGACATGGGCGCTTGGAGGGAGGGAGGCATAGAGGGTGAGCTTATGAGGTCTTAATTTCTGAATCTGTAAAGCCTTGCTTCAGAAGCAGCATGGAGTTGGCACTCTCTTTGCAGAACTTAGATCTTGTTTTGAGGGAATTTTAAGTTTTGTTCGGTATCATTGTAAACATTGGCTCCAGAGTAGCTAATGTTCTCCCAGAAGCGTTTGTTGTTGCCTCTGTACTGTACCTCAGTACATTTGGGTTGCACGTTTTTCAAAATCAGGTCTTTTACTTTGGGAGCAGCCTAAATTTTTTTGAGTTCTTTATATATGCTATTTATTAGCTCCCTGTTTGAGGTGAGCATGCAACAATTTTCTCCCGTTCTGTAGGTTGTCTTTTCATTCTGTTGATTGTTTCCTTTGCTGTGTTATTTCTTACACAGTTTGTTTCTGAAGGTCTTTGACTGTACCTATGTCTTCAAGAGTTCACCTTGTTGGATTGAACACTGTGTAGTACCTGTTAACTCCATTTGTTTAAAGGTATGTGTAGTTGGACTCTATTTCTTTGTTTATTTTTGACCTAATTGATGTATTTGTGATAGTGTTACTGAGGTTCCCACCATGACCGTGTTGATGTTTATCTGATCTTTTATGTCTAGTAGTGTTTGTTTTATGAAGCTAGGTGTGCTGGTGTTTGGTGCATATATGTTTTATAGTTGTTATCTCTTCCTGTTGAATTGTTCCTTTAATAGATATGTAGTAACCTTTTCCTCTATTGTTTAGTTGAAGTCCATTTTGTTTGAAAATAGGATAGTGACTCCTGCTTGGTTTTGGGCTCCTGTTGCTTGGAATATTGGTTTCCATCCTTTGGTTTTTAGATTATGAATTTCTTTTTTGAATTGATTTTTGGTCTTTAATTCAATCTAATAATTTTTGTGTTTTGATTAAGGATTGAGATTATTTACATGGACAGTTATTACTAATATGTATGGACTTACTGCAGTGTTTTTTTACATTGCTGACTCCTTTATTTTTCCCATTTGCTTAACTGCTAACCCTGTTTTATGTATTCATTCCATTCTGTGTTTTGGTGTTGACTTTATTATCTAGGCTATTCTTGAAAATTTTTTGCTGTGCTGGTTTGATAGTCATTAATTTTTTAAGGTGGTCTTTGGCATGGAAAGTCTTCAATGCTTCATGAATTTTGAAAGATAGTTTTGCAAAATATATTATTCTGGGTTGAAAGTTTTTTTTTTTAGTGTGTCTGAAGCATTTCACACTTTCATGATCTTGAGGTTTGTGTTGAGAAGTCTGCTCAGATGAGTTTACATTTATAAGTGATTTATTGCTTTTGTCTAACAGATTTTAAAATTTTGTACTTATATTGAACTTCTGAGATTTTGATTATGATGTTTCATGGAGAAATTCTTTTCTGATGTTATCTGTGTAGGACTCTCCTTTATACCATGCTTACCTGAATATTGAATTCTGTCCCCATACTTTGGAAAGTTTTTATTAGTTTTGTGGACAAATTTTGTTTTAATGCCATTCATGCCACCCTCTGACTTTCATTCTGTTTAATCTTATGTTAGTCTCCTTTGAGTCATCTAGCAGCCATTGGATCTACTCTCCATGATCTCTTGATGTTTTTGAGGTTGCTCTGGTATATGGGTACCTGTATCAACCCTGTCTTGTCCTTTTGATTCTATGCAGAAGTGATCCCACTCGTTACTTCTGCTATGCACACTTTCAAGAGAGTTATCTCTTGGCTTTCTGTTTGGTGCTTTTTCATGGACTCTTAATTCTTTGCTAAATTGGATATTTTCAGTGTAAGTCATTTTGCTTAGCTCAGCTACCTTTTTATTTGTGTCTTCTTTAAGGTCATTGATCATTTTGTTTACTAAATCCATTATCTGTTTAGTTATATTATCTATGAGCTCCTGGAACACTTTATTGATCCATGTTGCTTCTTTTTTTAAAAAATCAGTTTGTATAATTCAGCCATTTAATTTTTTATTTACTTGCCATCAATTTCTCTTGAATCTGCTCTGGGAGAGTTAGGAGTTTTCAAAGGCCTTTGGTCATCTAGTTGTCTTGTGTTTCTATTATCTTTCACTTATTTATTTATGTTTTATGCTGAGGGTTGAGGATCGTAGAGTTGACAAACTTTGTTGCTGGCATGGAGTTGTCTTTACTTAGTGTCCACTTTTCAGTGATGACATGTCAGCGCTTTGGTATTTATCAACATCTTCAGTTTAATTGGATCTGACCTGCTGACTGTGTTGCAAGAAGAGAATCCCTTCCAGTTTTATCAACGTCAACAAATCCACCTATACATCAGTCATGTGCATCATGTGTATTAAAAGTTTTTTAATATCAATGTCACTATTTTATTATGTCCTACTGTACCGTACTTCAATTAGATAGACTGGGGTACAGAGGAAGCTAGGAAGAGAAGAAGGAAGGGGTAAGTCAGGAGAAAGAGCAAAGAGAAGTAACTGCAGTTGAACGAAACAGACAGGAGACTGAACTTGGTTGAAATTACTTTTATAGCTGGACGAAAGGACCAGTGTTGAGGGAGTTTGAAGGATTTTTTTGTGGGAGTGGAAAAAACATCTACATTGTGAGAGGGACGTATAATTGGGGGTTGGGGAAACTGAGAATGTGGCAAGTTGTTTTATTGTAAAGAGACAGGAAATATGCCCTTAAGGAGCTTATAGTTAGTAAATGTTGTTGTCTTGTAATTTATTAAAAGAAGCCATAAAGTGAATCAAGTCACATAAAACTCAAGACTCTCATCAGTGAAAATTTTTCAATCCTGTTTATGCTGTAGGCTCAAGCTTCACAACTTTCCCACCTCAGATAGAAGTTTGGAAGCATTTTCTGTGATGTGGCATATTTGTAGAGTATAATTAAAGAAAAGTAATCAGCTGTTTTATTCCACAGGACCAATCTGACTATAAGCTGTGATGTTTACATAGAGACGCCTAAGAAGGGAGGCGTATTCATTGCAGGAAGAGTAAATAAAGGTGGCCTTTTGGTTAGAATTTCTCAAGGAGTTTTCTTCTGGATTTTTGCAAATGGAATGTACAGAGTTACAGGTGATCTAGGTAAGCAACTTTTTTTTTTTTTACTAACACATGACTTCCCGTGTGGTGTTACTTTGAGCATCTGCTTGTTATTGATGGAAGCAACAAGGAGCTCTGTGCTAAGGTGCTTGTACATCTAGGGGAAGAGATTTAACGCATGTAAGCAAATACCAAACAACTCCAAATCGTAGAGCCATTTGATGTTTACAGAGATGTGCGTTCAGTGAATGAACACACGATTATGCAGTCTTTTAGGCATTGTTGGGAAAGTGTGGGATTTGAGTGAGGCGATGCAAGATTGCTCAGGGAACACCAAGAATAAAAGCAAGACCGTTAGAGTGTTGCTGTTCTTATGGAAATACAAGTAAAGGAACTGATAGGCTTAAAATGGAGAAAGGCTTTTCGTTAATTTACTTAATACTTGGAAAGTACTGAATTATCCTCATTTATCTTGATAACATTTGTCCTTTTAGAACCACACTGACTGTAGAACAGATGCTTAGAGAATGGTGAAGTTAAACTGAGTTTAGTGGCCAGCAGTTTGCTGAAACTAGATCCTATTGGTGGTGACTTACCTTGTGTTAATTTGGAAAACTTTCCCCTTTTAATGATTCTCCTTTTTGCTCTGGCTCTAAAGTAAAATATAGTGGCACTGTGATTGACAAATGCTTTTGATTGCAAACTATTTGGTTCACAAACAGAAGCATTTAGCCAAATTTTGCTTTTGTTTGCAAATTCTGCATCTGGTGACAAACAAGACTGTGCTACCTTCCTGACATAAACACAAATGTGGCCATCTTTTCCAAAATTGCAGAACAAATTAAGTTCGTGAACCCAAGAAGTACCACTGTACATAATAAGTATGGATATCCTGGTAGGAATTATATAATTATAACGTGACCCATCCACAATGTACCTCATTGATTTTCCAAAACGAAACAGAGAGCCAGACAGGTTAATTGATTTACCCAGTCTTGGGGACTAGTTAGTGGCAGAATTAGAGCTGGATTTAAATCTGCATTTTTAGTCCCCACTGTTTTGTGTTTCAAACTGCCAGCATGACATTTCTTCCTGGCTTTTGTTCCAGTATTTAAATACAGTAAGTCTAAAAATCAAGTCATCCTCCTCTAAGTTAACCCTATTACCATGTAAGCACGTTATACAACCAACTGTACATCTTATAAAAGTCTTGAGCTGCTTGCTCGTACTGTGTGTGTTTAGTCCATGCAAGTATTAAATGTACTTCAAAGTACAGACACTAACTCATTACATTATGGCTAGTTTTGAACTTTCTCACTAGTTCTGTTGTAAACTCAAGTAATTCATGGTTCAGGATGGGAGCTCAGTGCGTGTTATGTACATGCTTATGGAATGTGTGAAGGAATGAGGGGTGTTTTGTTTTAAATCAGTGTAGAGCTAGAAATGAAGGGATAGTTCTTTATTAAGGCTCACTTTGCTGTATACAGATGCCATTGGGTATGGAGTCTGCGCCTAGATCCCCAATCTCCCAAACGAATGCGTGGCGAAGGCCCAGATGAATGAGACAAGTGGTGTGATCTTTAGGGCTCCAGCAGGACCAAAACCCTCTATGGAGTTCGTAACTCTAATACCTGACACAGACAATGCCTCTGGGTGGCCCATATTTATCCAAAACAAGGAAGGGGTTGAGTGGAAAACACAAGAAATCTGAGCAGGATCTTGGGAATAGTTCAAGGACCCCTCCGAATAACAGAAAGTAATAGACAATGCTAATTAAGGAAAACTATCCCAGGAGAAAGTCTCCAGGTGTGCTCAGCTGTGGCCTATCTTGCCTCCATCTCCCACATCTCGTTTTCAGTTCAGTGATGCCAGGGCCATGTCACAGCCCTACAAGTGTGTTCAGCTTCAATGGCTCCATCAGTTGAGAATTCCTATTGATGTGATTCTGTGACTTAGAGTTTGAAAAGTGTCCATTGGGATTTTTTTTTGTGTTACAGCTGGATGGCTCATATATTCTTCAGGATATGTTGAAGTGACTGCAAAAAAATGGTACACACTTACATTAACCATAAAGGTAAGTGTTGCTGATGAGAATATCTGGGGAAAAATGTTCTTGTACCTTTCTGGAATTTTGTATTATAAAACAAGTTGGGGAAACTATGTTTAATAATGACAAGAGTCAAAGAGTCTCTATCATGGAACCAGCAGTCCACTTTCCATTGGAAAAAGATGTCCCAGTAACCCATATTCTAACTTGAGTTGACTTTGCCAGACCATTTAAAAAAAAAATCGTCTTTTAAACTGAGGAAAAATTGGTAACATCAATAATTGAACTACAGTATTTTTCCATGCAATGCAAAGAAAAATTTACTTGGGATGGTTCAGAACAGTGGTGGTGAACCTACGGCAAATGTGTGCAGAGGCTGTTTGTATCATTGAAAGCTCTAAAACATTGGCCATCACTGGTCTGGAATAATATGGCTATCAGCTGGAAGCACAGTGTTTTACAAGTTGGTTTCCATGAGTGTTTTGTTAGAGAAGATACCAGCATAATCCCTCACAATCTCATGATTGTCATCATAGTCATTGGCTGATTATGAGTTACTGATAGGGCGTTTCTAAAGGATGTTGTATGGAGAACTTCCACACTGTGTGCTACTCTTTCCCAATAGGTCCTCGCATAATCTTGTTTACACTGTGATAGAAATTAAAATGAAATTCAAATAACTTTTGAACTTACTTTCTCTTCTTATCAAGTGACCCAAAATGACAGCATTCATTTTCAAGCATTAATAGAGTGTTTTGAAGCTCTGATTGGGATGTATTGAATTTAACAACCCCCCCCCACCCGATGGGTATGACTTTGCTTCCAATTGTTCCCTTTTATGGTAGTTCTAAATGTGTTTGGGGTACACCTGTAATACTATTCTTTAGGCTGATACAGAAGTACAAGTGCATTTTAAATTTTAACATACACTACCATATTGAACTAATTTTTGTAGCATTTTGTAGCATTGTGATAACATTTGATATTATTGATTTAAAAGTTTTTTCTGTACTATCAGTATAATTTACATTTCCTTGATAACTAGGGAGGCCACATATTGTATTATTTTTATAGACTTTGTATTATCTCTTTTCTGAAGTGATTGTTCTCGTTTTCTCCTTTGTGTTGTCATTTTCTGATGAACATGAATTTATGTTTTTATGTATAAATGATTTATTTATACATACAGTAAACTACATATGAATTTACATATGTATAAATTTACTATGAATATTTATACATACAGTACATTATTTTCATGTGCCACAGATATTTTCTTTTGTTACATGTATTTTAATTTTGCTAATGATATTTTTGATGAATAAGTTTTAAATTTTGATGATGTCATATATTTTACTTTTAAAATTGCCTTTCATGTTTTATGTTTCCCATTTTATTTAGCAGGTATTCCTGTTTTTAAAGGCTAAGAACTTGTTCCCCCAAGTCTTGAAATAAATGTAGGATTTACTTATTTTTTAATACTTCAAATTATTTTTCAATTTTTATTTTTCCTGAGTGTGTGTTGGCAGTAATGATGGCATCCCTTGAGGAGAGCTGGCGTGTGTACTTAATACATCGTAATTCTTAGGATTTATCTTTACGTTTACATCTTCTGTCCTCTGGAATTGTGAGTTATACAGTGAAGTGCCCAGTGTGGCATTTTCTAAAACAATAGAGGGTGTCCTTATTTGCTGTGTGGCTGGTCCTCTGTATAATAAAGTGCACCTTTTTCAGAAAATAAATCAGTCCATGTGCACGAGCTTGTTTTTGAACTGCATTATTCATATTGCTGTGTTCTTAGCCAATACCACACTTCAGTTTTCTAAAGCTTTTAGTTATTTAATTTATTCCCTCACTTCCTTCAAAGTTCTTTCCTGACCACTTGATAGGAAATAGCACCCGTCTCACTCACTGTGCCTTTGCTGTTGGTTTATTTTACCCCAAATCTTTTTATCACCGCCTGGTAACACACACACTGTGTTTCATACCTTTGACGCAGCCATGCCTACCTTGGCTTGCTTCTCTTGGTGCATCTCATATGATTTATTAACTTCAGAAATTGGCCCTTTTTGCTCAGATAAAGGAATTTTGCTGACTTGTACCTACCTCACCCCCAGCCCCTACTCATTAGTTCTCCATCAGCTACAGCTGTTCTGCTCTTCCTTGGCATCCCAACTTTATGTACTTAGTCTGAGGATCTTTCTCTAGGTGTCTAAAATAGTCTCAAACACCCACCCTCATACCAGCCAATCTGCTTTACTTGTTCACATGCTACTTAGTGTGTTTTTTTTATTTATTCTGTATATGTTTGTATGTCTCCTGTGAGAATATAAGCTCAGTGTAAAAGCAAGACCCTGTCTCTCTTGTTCCTCTCAAATTCCCAGGACATTAAACAGCATTAGGAGTATAATCTTCCCTACATAAATGAAATGAAACATTTTCCCATCAGGAACATCACAAAGAAATATCCTTATGAAGATTAAATAAGATAATATACATAAAAGTTTGCACAGTATCTGATCGGATAAGCACTTAATGCATCAAGTTAATCTTCCCAGGAGGAGAGCATTTGGCACCAGCCAGACCAACACTCACATTTCCTCCATGATGCTGAGACTTCCGGGAAAGGCTTTTATGCCTCTTAGGTTCTGTTTCTTTATTTATAAAATGGAGATAACTTCTGTGAAGTTGTTTTAGATTTCAGAGCATTTCATTCTTCCACTCAACACATTTGTAGTGAATACCTCCAGTATGCACTTTCCTGAGCGCTGGGAAACTGCACTGAAGATGACAAACATTCCTGCTTCCCCAGGGCACAAATTCTTCTAGGACCTGGGTTGGCAACTTTTTCTGTAAAGAACCAGATGGTGAGTCTGTTGCAGCTGCTCAGCTGTGCTGTTTTAGTGAGGACAGATGAGAGGTAAATGAGCCGATGTGCTGTGTTCCAGTGAAATTTGTCCTAAGTTCATCCTACAGCAAATAAATAAAAACTTATTTGTAAATAAATAAATATGAAGGAAAGTGGTGTATGACTAAGTGATGCTCTGAGTCTTTTAACTGGAGAGTGAAGGGAGGGTGTTTGCATTTAGACCTGAGAGGGGAAGAGCAACCTGAGTGGACCTCACAGCTCCTGCCATAGGTGACAGCCCTGGCCTTGTGTGGGGAGCAGGGAGGATGGCTGGGCCTGGGGAGCAGAGGGGCAGCGCAGAGCAGGGGTGAAGCACCGCCAGGCAGGTTGTGGGCTCTGTGCGGTTTGTGTGTGGGGCCCTTGGCTCTGTGAGCAGGTACTGCCCTGTAAGTGTGGAAGACGTGCACGAGGCCTATCCAGAGCCGAAGACAGCGTGCAGGTGTGTAGCGGTGGTAACATGACTCCGTATTTGAAATTGGGTAACTTGGATTCAAGTCTCAGCTCTGCTGATGTGTGTATCTGTGTCTTTGAGCTTTAATATTGCTAAAACTCAGCATCTCTACTCATAGAAGAACCAAAACCAAATTAAGGCCCTTTGCATCATCGTCATTTTAAGACAATGTATGTGTGTGTTTATTTTTATTTTTGCCTAGTACTTTGGATCTCCAGTGTTTAAGTATAATGAATAGATAGGTTTTTAGGTTTTTGTTTTTGTTTTTGGGTACTGGTGATACAGCCTCACACTTGTCAGGCAGGGGCTTACATGGCTGAGCTAAATCCCCGGCCCATAAATAGGTAGTTTTCAGGGCTCAGGTGGACTTGGTGTGCTGTGAGTGTACACTCATTGTGTACTACAGTAACGGTGCACTGCTCACTCGAATGCAGCCTTTCGAGGAAGACATTTTTTTCGTCCTTAGTAACTAGTTAGTCACACCTTATGGACACCTTCCGTCTTCCATGCCTCCTACTCCTGCTCCATCATTTTAACTGATGGTTACTATTTTTCTAACTTAAGGATGGTAGTTCCATATGACTTTGTAATGATAGGGTATAAATGGTGACAGAAGAGTAAGGCTAGTCACTTCTCTTTTGACTAGTAAAGGGTTGTTAATAAAAATCTTGAATCATGAGGAAGAGTCCAGGGTTTGGCTTTAACATAGTCAATATGGAGGGAGTGGACACTTATTAACCACAGTGCCTGTCTATACAACTCCTAAAAATAACAAATGTTTTTCTGTTTAAAATTTCAGTGAGCTTTTGCCTGACATTGGGCACTAATGTTAGAAATGTATTGCATTTTTGTCAGTTTTACCTTTTGGTGGAGCATAAGGAAACATTGAAGAGTTCCTTATACCTTGGCACCTATTTAAATAAGTCATTCTTAATAGATCTCCCAGAAAAATTTTCCTGTATTTCACACTTTTGCTTAAACTCACAGAATTTTGTTTCCCAGTGGTAAGTCTTAAGTGAGAAAGACATTCACTCCACAACCATTATGTAGACCATACATTGTGAAGAAATCGATTTCAGAATATGGTATCTGTGTGTTTTCAAGAGATGTATTTCTCTCTACTCTAGGGTAATTTATCCTCTGGCAAGTTGAATGGCAAGGTTCTGTGGGAAAATATCCATGTGAAATACCCGAAGAATGGCTGGGCTGCGATTGGAACTCATTCATTCGAATTTGCACAGTTTGACAACTTTCATGTGGAAGTTACAAACTGACACGGAGTCTGACAGAACACTCTTGATTTTCTTCCTTTTGGATTTGGTTTGGAACCAATTCTTCTGTTGACAGATTGCTGGATGGGCCTTCGCAGGCTAAAAACAAGGAAGAGTATGTGGGAAGAAAGATATATTTTTACTTGATCCTGAGAAAGGTTTTATTAGAAATGATTCCAAAGGAATGTGAATTGTTAACATTATCTAGTGTGTCTCTTAAAATTCAGCCTCTTCACTGGTCCTTGTTCAGCAGTGATTGAGATCTTGAAGCCACCTTGTGAATACTGAGGTAGATCTCTTCATCTTATTTGCAAAATGATTATGCAGGTGGCCATGACTGACCTCACTAAGATGTATTTTTGAGAGTTCTCCATGTGTGCAAGTGGATTCATGTCCTTGCTATCGGATGATGCTGCCACAGAAGAAGCTGAAGAGCATGAAGTGCTGCTTTTTGAAAACCACTTCAACATGCTATTCTTACACTCTAACAAGTGTCTTTTTTAAAAAATTCTAAAATGATGGTTTTGAACAATAAACAGGATGATTGGATAAATGCCTCTTTATTAAACTACCTCTAACATTATTTCTGCAATAATAAATTGTAGCAAATTAATTGGATTGTGTGCATCCTTTACTTTTTTGATTCCAGTTTAGTTTTTGATTCCACTTTAGTTTTGTAACACTTGTAACTCTGAATATTTTCCCAGGTTGCTAAAGAGTGAAAAAATGTCAGTGTAGCCAGTGCTGTGAGTCTGGAGATGAAGCTGTAGCAGGTTTTCGGGGTGTGATTTCAGATGTTTGTGGTCTGTCCTCCCACTACAACAGATTAAACTGCTAATGAATGCTTTCATCTCTTTAGGTCTGGGAGGAGCAGTTAGCTTTTACCAGCTCGCAGAATTAGATCATCTCCTAATGTTTTGTATGGTTAAGATGCATTTTTTTTTTACAGCTCCAATGTATTTACATATGAGCATGTTTCTCATTAGTATTATTAATATCAGAGCATTATAGCTTTTAGGAGCAAATCAGTTATTCATATGATTATAGAATTCTTTAAAAATAAATAATTACTAAGGGAATTAGTTTTTGTACTTAGAAATTTGTAATGGTATGACGTAGGTGAAGCTGTACTGAACTTGTTCATTACATTTAAAGATAAGAAATTAATTACTAGAATAAATCAGATTTACAGAAATTTTTTACAAAGTCCAAATGAGTTTTGAGTCACATCTCCATTTTTTTTAAATAACGTGTATTAATTATTTATAATAGAATGTTCTCACTCTAAGTGTGCAATTCAGTGAGTTTTGTTAAGTGGATGTGCCCACATAGCCTACGTTCTAGTCAAGTATTGAATATTTCTATCCCTCCAGAAAGTTTATTTGTATAATTGTGTAACCAATTTTTCTTATTCCCAATCTCAGACAACTATTGATACGATTCCTGTCACTGTTAATTTTCTTTTTTCCAAGCATAAAAATGGGATGACTTGCAGCATATGTGAACTTTTACTCAATGTGATACTCTTGAGATTCGTCATGTTGTGGCCAGAACTGTACTAACTTTTGATTAATGCCATATAAATTGGCCTAGCTAGCAGTGGCTTGCTTGGTTATTTTGGAAGCATATTCCATTGTATAGATTTATGGCAGTTTGATTTCTCTCAGGTGGTCTGCAGAGAAAATTTCAGATGCCTTAGCTTCTGGGAACTTAGGTTGTATCTCCCTTATTTATATTGTTTCCCCTTCTTATATGAGAATCTAATAAATGTGTTCAGAATCTGGGAATAACAGGACTCACTTTATTTCTTTCTTTCTGGAGTCATAGACTTAGGCCATCTACGGTCTACTCCCTGAAATTGTTGTTAACTATAGAAGGACTGGATTACTTGAAGTTGTTACAGAAGGCATAGAAAATTTCAGTGGTCATAGATTTTTTATTTTTCAATGAAAAGCTTACAGTTGGTCTACTTATGGTGCTGTGCCCCAGAATGTAAGAACCTTTAGATGTAGGTAAGTGAATGTAAGAACCTTTAATGTAGGTAAGTGAAAAGTTTGGGAAACAAGTGTGGCTTTCAGAACCACATCTTTTGCATGTTTCAGGAGCAAAAATCTTTCAACACATTCCTTTTTAAATTCCTCTTAATTAGGTTGAAAAAAGGGTGACTTGCTCCTTTCCATTTAAGGAGACTTGCTAGCAAGGCCAATTTATATGGCATTAACCAAAAGTTAGTACAGTTCTGGCCAGGGAGTCCTGTAGAGACTGGGAAATACAGTCTGTCCGCTGACATTTAAAAAAATAGAGTGTAGTTACTAAGGAGAAGGGGGAAATGGCCATTGGGGCAAACAATTACTGCCTCTCCATAGGAGTACCTATTTTTATTGATGCCATTTAAAATTTCAATTCGTGGAAAGACCTGGTAGACCTATAGCAACAACATTTTTATGGAGAAAACAAAAAACACAGTCTTAAGAGCTGAAAGTGTAGCTCAGTAAGTAGATCGCTTACTTCGTATGCCTGAGGTCATGAGTTCAATCTATAGTGTTACAAAAAACAATTCCTAAAACATTCCCCCAAAGTCACACATATTAAAAATTGCTAGAAAGTGTGAGAGTGCCATGGATCTTAGAAATAATCTGTTCCAACTACTTCACTTTATAGAAGAGCAAACCAAAGCCCAGAGAGGTGAAGTGATTTCAGTTGAACTGGAAGGATTCTTGCAAGCAGGAAGATAGTTATCTACTCACCCATGATCTCTAGTATTTCAAGATTAAAGTCAGAAAGTTATCCAATTTGCCAGTGCTTAGATCCTATCCACTGTACAATGAAATGCAACTGTACAAATACCTGCCTTTTGGGAATCGGCCCACTCAAGTTTGCAAATTCTTGCTGTGAGTGCACACTGTTTTTCCAAGTGAATAGATTGTTCCAAGTCATAGCATCTTGAAATTGTAAGAGAACATTTATTGAGAATTAGTTTGCAAGCTCCATGGAAGCAGAGCTTGAATCTGACTCCATGTACCACTGTATCTCTAGTGCCTAATAAAGACTAGATGCTTAATATACACTGCAACAAATAAATAGCTGTTGGCTGAGTAGATGTGGTGTGTATGAGGTGGTAGACAGTGTGGTAAGCTCTTCTCCTGTGTTATCTCATTCCATCCTCGTAGCAGCTCCATGAGGTAAGTGGTGTTTGACGCTGAAATTTGAAAACATTCCCTAATTCACAAACAGAGTGAGTGTTGAGACCCGGAGTAGTCTGCCTGACTGCTGTCTGAGTTATTAAGAAAGTTGAAAAGTTTTATCAGATGAATAAAATGCTCTTAGGTGAAAAATGAAGGAATTTTAAAAGTGTGACTATTTGGCATGTTAATTTAAAACAGGAAGAAAAAATAAAGCCTGCCCTGTTAGCCAAAAATTGGCAAAATACTTGGATATTTTTTGGGAATGCGATGGCGCTGACATAGTGAATAGTTAATTATTTGGTAGTTTTCACTGTATCTTGAGATGCTGAGAGACTTTCTTCTGAGCTGTGCATTCAGTCTGAAATGCTCTCCTGTGGTGTTACCACGCTTAGATCGTGGGCGGGAGATATTGAATCTCATTGCCAGAGTTCCAGGATTCCAGGGTTTATTTCCGTGGTTCTAAGTCTTTCAAAGATGGTGAATTTGTCAGGGGCAGAAGAGAACAGTGACCTGCAGGAACTGCCTGGCTGTGACTCCTGTGCTTCTGGCACTGGTCTTCCACCTCCATTGGAAGAGAATTTGTGTGTGTGTGTGTGTGTGTGTGTGTGTGTGTGTGTGTGTGTGTTTCTTTTTCCAAGATACTTTTAATGCCAGAAACCTGTCCGAGATGGTGATGGTGATGTGATCCTGTGTCTGAGACCTCTCCAGAGAATCTAAGCCATTGTGTATAGAACAAAACTTCCAAGCTCAAGTCTTTGGCAGATGTGGGCTAGATATCATGTTGCGCGGGCACTGTTCCTTTAAAGACAACTTGTGCCGTATTTCCATAGACTTAACTGTTTGCAGCTCTGGGTTCACATTAGGATCATTTGAGGAGACTTGAAATACTAATGTTTGGGGTCTAGCCCAGATAATCTGATTTTATTAGCCTGCTATAGGCATTGTTATTTAATTTATGAACCTCCCGTGGGATTCTGATGTGCAGTCAGGATACAATACCATTCTTATAGCCTAGAAATTCTTATCCAGGACCCATTAACTTTCTTTCTGGCCTTCATATGTCCTGCCTGTCATGTGAGGTGTCCTGCTTCCAAGGCGTGACACTTCTGTGGGCCATCACTGACTGTTCCTTAGACTGGGGTTGGAGGGCGTGAAAGAGACAGGGTGTAAAACTTTTATTGTTACTTTTATTCTTTTTTAAAAAAATTATGTAATAATGAACTTTTAAAAGCAATTAAAAATGAATCAAGGAGAGAAATACAAAATGAATATGAACTGTAAAAGTTTTATAGTTTTTCTGTAAAAAAAAAAAACCCAATGTAGACTGTCAACAAATGGAAAAATGAAGCTAACTAAATGCTTTCCTAAGAAAAAGCTTTAATGAAGTTGAAACTGAAAAAATGAAAATAACCAATTATCAGAAGAGAAATGAAGCTATTTACCATAAAACATCAGCCGCAAACAGTTTCCAGCTGGATATTTTTAAATTATTCAAGATCAATTTGTTCTCAGGCTATTTAAAAATGTACTTGAACAGAAAAAAGTGAACCTTCTGAATTGCTTTTATGAAGCAAGCATAACATTGTTATCAATAAATGGGTGAGGGTAGTACTTAAAACCAATTAGCTGTGCAATGTAATTCTTCCTTTATTAATATTAATATGAAAGCCCCAAATAAAGTACAAGCAAATAGAACCTAGCAGTGAATGAAAGAAAAATAGCATGGACAAGTTCATTTTAACAATTTAAAGATGGATCAATAATGGAAATCTGCTAATGTAATTATATGAATAAGGAGGAAAAATGTTGATTCCAACAGGTGTGGCAAAGGCATTAGATAAAAGTCAATATGTGTACTTAATAGTAATAGATCATATTAGAGAAATTTCCCTGAGTTATTTCTACTATGCTTAATGGTGAAATACTGCAACTGTTTGGTAAAGCTAGAAATAGACAATAACCACTGGAGTCTAACAGGTGTAGCCGGAAGTTTAAAGAACCAGGTAAACAGTTCTTCCTGTGCACCAAGCAAATCATCAATTCTCCTTGAATCATGCTAGAGAAGCATTTCCATTTTCCCTTTACAAATGAGAAATCAAAGCAGAGTAAAGTGCCTTGCCGAGAGTCACATTGCCAGAAGTGGCAGAGCTGGGATTTGAGTCTTTTCCTGTATTACCTCTGCAGGAAGAAATAGGAAACTTGAATTAAGGGAGTTTGGAAGACAATTTTGTACAGATGCCATTTTCTCTGTCTATGAATGAAGTCATATTTCAATTAAAACTCCAATAAATTTTCTAATGTTTCTCTGTGAATTCAAGAACAGCCAGAAAAGTTCTGTTAGGAAGTGTAAAGAAAAAGGAATTCAAGTTGCAGTATTTCAGTGACCGCAATGGCCCGGTATAAGCAGCAAATGGAGAGCATAGAGTAGGCATCAGCAGATTAAGGCTCACTGGTCAGATATGGACATGTGAGAGATTTGCAAATCTATGGTCACCTCCATGCTGTCGTGGCAGAGCTGAGTAGTTGCAGCAGAGACTACATGGCTGGCAAAACCAAAAGCATTTATACTCACGTCTTTTACAAAAGAGAGTTTCTCAGCCCCTACTCTGAACAGAGCCCACATTCAAGTGGCTAGCGAGGTGTTTAAAAATCAGCAGGACTATTGAGGGCAGTTCTCTTCTACAACACACAAACTGCAAATGTGTAATAGTAATAGAAAATAGAGCTTGTGGAAACTTGGTGAAGGACAAGTTTTTCCAGAGGCCATAAACTGGGAACTAGCAAGAAAATTTTAAAATGTGAGTACGAATAAAAGTTTAAGTGGCGAGGAAACTGAAAACTATTAAAAGACATATGAAAAGGGGGAAACATATTTCCCGGGTGTGTTTAGCAGAGTTTAAACTACAGGACTGTAGGACCCACTAGAGCTTTTTAATCAAGAAGAGACTCAATGGACAAAATCAGGTGAATATTAAATTATTGGAAGGACCAAAGGAGGAGATTCTAGAGCTAGTCTGCCAAGGTCACTGCTGCTCTGGTTTCCCCAGCAGCTGCTGTCACCGCTGGCCACTGGGTCACGTGGCCACGGCCCTAAGCCACGGATCAGGAAGCTGCGCCCTGGACTGAGTGGCTCCACAGCAGCAAAAGTGAGGGTCTGTTCCGCTTCTCTCTCAGCGCTGTCACTGGTGTGTCCAAGTGGTGGGTGAGTGTCATATTGGAAACCTTAGCTGCAAGGGCATCTTGGAATTTTGTTTTATTATTTTCAGATCTTTGGACTAGAAGGAGGTTAAGGGTAGGTGCTAAAAGAATTGCAGTCTATTGCCTCTAATTTTGCATATTGTACATACACAGGGAGAGTTGTGCAAAATGAACCAGGAACACATGAGCAACTAATTTTAAAAAATGGTTTAGGAAAAGACAGCTCAAAACAAAATCCAGAGGTCAATAAAAGGGAAATGCCAAAACCACTGATGATAAGTAAAAGGATGTCAAGGATGTGGGTGATGAGGCGCTTTCACAGCAGTGTATCGGGCAACCTTTGTGAAGGGCAGAGTAAAGCCTCTGACTGAGCAATCCCACTGTGGCGTGTAACTGTTGAGAAGTGA